AAAGGACATTTAAAACAAGTTTCACTAAATATATAAACCGGTAAAGATAGAGTAATTTTAATATGACAGATTATTTACCGAAGGAATAAGTCGAATGTTTCCCTTGTCACGTGTTCCAGTTCCACCTGGTCATTCTTGTCGGCACATGGACCAAAGAACATCGCCTGAAACACTGAACTTCTAGCAGCTAAAACTATCTTGTGCGCTTTGATTGTAGCCACCTCAGGGTGATCTTTGAAGCGAAAAGTCACATCAGTCCAAAGACTTTGGTTGTACATTTCTAACATACATGCTCCCAGACCTTTGTCCTGTTGCCAGCCGACGTTATACGTCTGAAGAGCGTCTGTAGAGCGTTGTAGAGCGTGAACAGGGTCTTCTGACTCCATCCTGAATATATCTTTTTCCAATTATATAGTCCAAAAGAGTACCTGTATGCGAGAGCAATTAATAATCATATTTATGAAACAAGAATTTGGCTAACAAAATTAATAAAATTTCTACATAACTATTCAATAGATATAGTCAGTTTAAAAGCGTATAACTTTAACTGAATGTCTTCACTGAGATAATATCAATGCTCTAGTGTCAACCGTACCAAATATATCTAATATTACAATACTTTTCATTCATAAGCACGCAGTGTGACATTAACATTTATTACAAGCCTTTCATTAGTTTAAATAAAAATAGTATTCTAATTATACAATGCTAAATCAAGAAAAATACGCGATTTTTAAAAATCAAAATATAAACTTGTTTACAAAGTTTACAGAATCTAAAGGGAATAAAATCATTTGTAAATTATTAAAAATTACATGTATCGACAATGATACGTATAAACTATAATAGTTATTTCATTTTATAAAAAAGGTTTCTCTATTACTTGTATTCAATTCACATGAAAATTGTATGTTAACTAAGGCCTCACGAAAACACGTTTAAAGTTTAAACACATTGAATTTCGTTTCGATTTTCACTGGTAAACTTTTATGATATTTTTACCGTTTAATCGGGAGGGGGATATTGTTTTGGCGTTGTCCGTCTGTCCGTCCTTCCGTCCATCCGTACGTACGAATTTCGTTTCCGGACTAGTTCTCTGCAACTACTGGCTGGAATTCAACGAACCTTTATTGAAAACATCAATATCAAGAGGAGATGCGCATATCGTCTGCTTGTTCCAGTCAGACCCTTTAACTCAGAGTTATGCAATATGCATATAGAGTAAAATTCGTTTCCACGCTACTTCTTTGCTACTACTGGCTGGAATTCAATGATACTTTATGGGAACCTTCAATACCAAGAGGAGATGCGCATATCGTCGGCTTGTTCCGATCAGACACTTTAACTCAAAGTTATGGCCATTGATTAGTTATGCAGTATGCATGTAGAGTACAAATCGTTTCCGCGCTACTTCTCTGCTACTACTGGCTGGAATTCAACGAAACTTTAATGGAACCTTCAATACCAAGGGGAGATGCGCATATCGTCGCCTTGTTTTGGTCAGACACTCACACTCAGAGTTATGGCCCTTGATTAATTATGCAGTATGCTTATAGAGCAAAAAATCGTTTCCGCGCTTCTTCTCTGCAACTACTGGCTGGAATTCAACGAAACTTTATGGGAACCTTCAATACCAAGAGGAGATGCGCATATCATCGCCTTATTCCGGTAAGACACTTTAACTCAGAGTTATGGCCCTTGATTAGTTACGCAGTATGCATATAGAACAATACTCGTTTCCGGGCTACTTCTCTGCAACTTCTGGCTGGAATTCAACAAAAGTTTATGGGAATCATCAATATCAAGATGAGATGCGCATATAGTTGGCTTGTTCTGGTCAGATACTTGAAACAGAGTTTTGGCCCGTGATTAGCTATGCAGTATGCATATAGAGCGAACTTTATGGGAACCTTCAATACAAAGAGGAGATGCGCATATCATCGCCTTGTTCCCAATAGACACTTTAACTCGAAATAATGACCCTTGATTAGTTTTGCAGTTTGCAAATATCGAAATAATTGTTTTGCGCGACTTCTCTGCAACTACTGGCTGGAATTCAATTAAATTTTATGGGAACCATTAAAACCAAGAGGAGATGTGCATATTGTTGCCTTGTTGAAGTTGTTCAGACCAGACTCTTCATTACAGAGTTATGGCCCTTGATTAGTTATGTAGTATGCATATAGAGCAATATTGCTTTTTCTTTGCAACTGCTGTATTGATTTTAACAAACCATGGATACACAAAGGCAATTTACATCTCATTGGTATGTCCAGATATTACTATTTAACACAGAGTTATGACTCTGTTATTGCCCTGAATATTTATCAAGTACAAAGAATATTACTGTTTATGCCATGATTAATATATAAATAAAGCCTTATGTCTTAGCAATAACCAGTACTCGAAAGGGGATATAAATTGTTCAATTTCTTTTTTTGCTTAGTGTGAACAAGAAATAAAAATTTGATACAGATTTTGTGGTAAAATCATTTCATACCTGTTACACACACTGCACATTTTTATACAGTCATATACATATAATCTATGGTATCTATTTAATAAAATATTATATTATACTGTATATGTATACATGGATAATCGCCGCGAAAATCCAGAACTTTGAATCCCGTGAATATTTCTTCATAATACAATATTCAATCATTTTTAGCATCAGAATTTTCTACATGGCATTCATTTCAACAGAGTTGCTACTAGACTGATTTTTTTAACAAATGCATAAAAAATGAAAACGTCTTCTTTATATATTTACAATGTATATATCAACAACATATACACAGAAGACTGATCAAAGTACAACTAATTTTTCACATTTTAGATACGATTTTTAAGTACATGTATTTGAGTGGTGCTGTGGAGTCATGTTGACTGTGCAAGAAATTTATGTGAGTAATGTTAACTGTGGAGTTATGTTGACTGTATGAGTGGTGCTGTAAAGTAATGTTGACTTTGTGAGTGTTGTTATGTGAGTAATGTTGACTATGTGAGTAGCGATATGTGAGTAATGTTCATTATATGAGTAGTACAGTGAATTTATGTTGACTATGTTATTGATGTTGTGGATTAATGCGATTTAAACCCCAGTGATGTTCTTTACTGGAAAAGGGAACTACTTATGTGGCAAAAAGATACATGTTAAAAAAATTACTTCTAGTGAAAAGACAACATTGTACAGAAAGATTTCAAATCATCAAAACAAGTTGGAGTAATGTTGACTATGTGAGTGGTGCTATGAAGTAATGTTGCCTATGTGAGTGGTGCTATATAGTAATGTTGACTATGTGAGTGCTGCTATTGAGTAATGTTGACTACGTGAATGGTGCTATGAAGTAATGTTGACTATATAAGTGGTGTGGTGAAGCAATGTTGACTATATTAATGATGTTGTGGACTAATGTTGACTACGTGAATGGTGCTATAGATTAATGTTGACTATGTGAGTGGTGCTGTGGAGTAATGTAGACTATGTGAGTGGTGCTATAGAGTAATGTTGACTACGTGAATGGTGCTATGAAGTAATGTTGACTATATAAGTGGTGCGGTGAAGCAATGTTGACTATGTAATTGATGTTATGGATGAATGTTGACTACGTGAGTGGTGCTATAGAGTAATGTTGACTATGTGAGTGGTGCTGTGAAGTTATTGTAATCTAGGGGCTATATTTTTACAGCCAAACGTTTAATAAATTTATTGTTAGATTTAAGAAATAACATCGACCTGAGAGGTGTATATTAGCTATTTAACACCGGTTTTAGAAGTTTTCGGATGCGGTAGGAATTGACCACCCGAAGTCCTACCGGGCCTGAGGTGGTTAATTTGTCGCATTCAAAAGCTGCCGAACAAAACCCCGGTGTTTAAATAGCCGATATACACCTCTCAGGCCGATGTTATTTCGATTCTAACACGATAAAAATAAGGGAAATCACTAATGTTATTTTTCAAGCGGCAAATAACTTCTGTGCCCGATTTTCGTATAACGCTGTTCGATTTTCGCACCCTACTGCCTGCGAAGATATAAGAAAATCATTTAACAAAAGAAATAATAAGAAAAAAAAAACAACGTTATTTGTCAAGTTTTCAACAATTAAAACTTACGTCGTATTGTGTTTACATCAGTGCCCCATTATCATTCTGTATGTATGAAATAACGTCAGCTTGTTTATGAATGAGTTGTTTACTTAGGATGACGTCCATTACGTTGCTTACGGATATGCGACTTTTTGTCAAAAATATTTATTACCTGATATGGGATCTAATATTGTGGTGGCGTTAGTGTATGTGAGATGGTTTTTTTGGTATTGTATGAAAAAGAAAACATTATACGAACTGCACATATAGATAAAAATGCTTTTTATTGTTGGCTTTAAAATGCTTTTTGTAAACTATACATCGAGGGTGAAAACATAACAGCGCATATACAAGTAGTCCCTAACCAGTGTTTATTGGCAGTTTAACACCAGTTTTTTTCCTTCTTTGTCTATAGTGACAAAATCACGTGAGTGTTAGAATATTGCTTATATACGAGTCCTTGCTTGAGGGGTTACTATATAGACAACATCACACAAACAATGAAAAATACCGGAAAAGGCATTATGATACTAATTACAATCAAAATTTAAATATTGCCAATAGCTTGTTAAAAGGAGACATGTCATTTCAACCTGTTTCATTTTTGGCCCTTGACATTATTTACATTCGTTGTATTTCACAGATAATATCATGCACAAGCAGTAGGTTTCAGCGGGTTCACGTATTTATACTGGGACGTTCTACTTTTAATGCCGCATCAGACTATAAAAATGTTGAAAGCAAAAATATTTCATTTCACATTATAAACCATCCTTTTTATAAAGAAAACGGAAGTGGGATGTATAAAACGTTTTTTTTTTTTAATTACCGTGATCACGTTAAACGAGATTTGACGTCGTGATTTACGTATGACGTTGACGTTGTTTCTACGCGACATTGTCATTGACGCCAAAGCAATAGCAAAGCGAATTTATTCACTTAGCAGTTTTCAGCGATATTTAACGATTATCGGACAGTTATGGAGGAAGTTTTTATACCGAAAATATCTATCCTGACCCAAGATGGAGGAATGTTTAAGTGAAATTTCAATTATTTCACCATAGGTTCGTAAGAAAAGAAAAGAAAAAAGATCTGAAGTGCAAATAGATCTCCTTAAGATAAACAAACTACAAATTCCTTTGCAATCATATCATCAAGCCACAAAATTCTATGCATCTATTGATTAGGTTTTAATTTATTTCATTCATTAGTCATCCTTTTGCATTTTATTTATTTATTCATTTATTTATTTATTTATTTATTTATTTATTTATTTAATACAGATTTTCCAGTCTTGACAGTTTATCTGTATTTACCGGATACGTTCCCATTACAGTTCCGATTTTCCAGGCAGTGAAAGTTAAGCAAGGTTGTGATTTTCTTAAAAGAAGAATATTTTAAATCGTTTAGAATAGTTCACCTTTATTTATCATTAAACAATTCTTGTTTGTCGTTCCTTTTCGTTTAGTTTTTAGTTCCTTTTTCGTTTAGTTTTATCTTATCATTTCGTCTTGTTAGACGACTTCTCCTATTTTTAATTCTTTTTCTTTCTCAATCAGAAATCAAACCATTATGGACTGCGGATTATTAAAAAAAAAGAGAATTTCTTCTGTGTTGGGAAGTGAATCCACGAACGGCCTAACAATTTAGATGCTCGGTGCTTATTTTCAACACCCGTCATTTCAGTTTTCCTTTGTCTAAAGATATATATTATTGTGACGTTCATCGTTTCTACTTAGGCTTCTTTTTTATATACTTCTTTCTAATTTCTTTCTTACTTCTTTTTGTTATTTCTATCTTTTTCTTTCTATCTGTCTCTTTCTCTAGAAAACAGAGTAACCACTTTCCTGCGAACTTTGAGAAACTCTGTTCTGAAATATTCTAGACAAGATTATGATATCATTAGTACTGCTGAAGATTTTGACACGCTGTAAGATTTTACAAATAACATAAAGTTTATTCTTGTGACATAGGCATCCGGTCCAAAATACAAAACAGAACAACAAATATAAAAATGCAATGAAAATACAATGTAAAATTTATATATATTAATAATAACCTGTTTTTCAGTTGGTATAAAAAATTGTTTTTCATGTGCTCGCAAAATATGATGAAAGTTAAATTGTACAGCTGCAATAAACGATCGTTGTTAAAATGTCTGAGGTGTTTGTGCTCACAATAAATGATACAAATTGAATTACGTATATACTAAAACTTGCAGTAAGTGATTCAGTGATTTCGTTTTAACACTACACTTTTACTGTAAGATGTTCTAATTTTCTTATAGTGATACATTGAAGTACTTCTTATTGACTTTATATTTACATTTTGGTCTGCCAATAGGTTTTCCTCTGAGACACACCTAGTTTTAAAAGAACGCAAAAGAACGCTGGTACACTTCATTAAGAAACATGAAACAGCCCTGCTTGCATTAAGAGAAGCTAGAATGGTAAGTTTTATCTTAACTAAGGAAGGCTCTAAAGAACGAAACATTGCAACGTGATTATACCATTCATATCATATTTGAATAGTTAATTTAGAAATCAGTATTATCATCTAAATATACCATAGTTTGAAGATTAATTGATTTTTTATTTGCAAAGCTATTAACAAAATATCAGTTTTTAATTGTATTCTGTTGCATGGTATAGTATTTTAATATAATTGATTAATGCGCCATTTCACAAAACATTAATGGTTTCTTAGTTTTATATAAACTATCCCTGATTTACAGAATTGTTGGAAGTCAAAGGCAAAGCTGCAAAAGTATGAGTTGATTTTAGAGACACAGAGATCTTCGTTACATTACAACCAGAACGAGGCTAAAGTCAGAGAGGCAGCAATTGAGGTATGGTGCTTTTGACTGCTTTTATTGCCCATATTACTGACTATAAAGATAAAATCTTTTAACAATTCTTGGACAAAAATTCCCAGTCAAAACAGTTGTTCCAGAGTTTTTGTTTGTTTGTTTTAATGTTATTGTTGTTGTTAAAGCTGTGAACTAGATCTATAATAAATAATACATCAATATGTACAAATTCTGTGTTCATACATACATGTACTTTTTTCCATTCATATAATGTCATCTTGAGAAATAGTGTTCACGAATTATTGAGTTTTATATATAAGTTTTATATACATTATTAGACCATAATGTTGGTTTATTTTTTACAGGACATGGAATTAGTACATAATAAATGGATGGTCAAGCACGAGAAAGACCATATTGCTTTTGAGAAAAAGTTCTTAGCTGAGATAAGTTTGCGAGAGAAAATTCAAAAGGTAGGTTATCGCATATCATACAGTATTTTATATAATAATATTAAATGTACAATATCATTGATGGTACAATTCAAGAGTGTGTTTTGGAAACTTTCGAGTCAACTTACACCATGTCTATATTTTACAAACATATACATATTATACTTCATATTAAAAATATTATTTTTTCTATTATCAATATTATCTAGAACTTTTTGTGTTTGCTTATTTTTCTACGTTAAAGTCATTTAACTAAATTGTAAGCCGTCCAAAATACTGGCCATATTATTACTATTATTATTATTATTTTCAATATCATAATAATTATGATCGCCCATGTGTGGTCTACTGTCATAGCGGTTTTATATCTTATTTTAAAGGATAGACTTTCACTTAATTGTACTTGCTTTGTAAATTACGGTTTGTAAATTGCATTGTAACATATCTATTTTACAGATGTCAAACGACCTTGAACTTGATGTAGTTGAAATGCTGACTGATACAATCAGAACTTTGATGAACAAAAACAGACAAAATCTGAGGTAAGCTATGTACTTGATAATACAATTTATTTGGAAGAGACTAATTTGTTGGATTTTTTTTAATATTCTTCAGATGATTAAACCGTTCAAACAATACACTGAACACAATATTGTATTGATTGATAAATTGATTGATTGATCTATCTATCCATTTATTTACTCATTAATCAATCATGACATGTTTTTATTTTGGTCGCTGTTTCATGCACTTTTTACTGCATTGACCATTAACCTTTTTGTAATTTTTTGACTGCAAGAAATGAACATTATATTCATTATTGAAAGACAATATGTTTTTCTTTTTTCTGACAGTGATACAAAAGTAAACAAACTTGCCATACAAGTATACAAAAAAACATGCCGTACATACAAGTTTAAACATGCATCGGTAAGAATCTGTTCTTTCTTTCTTTTTTTATGTAAGTTATAATTCCAAAATTTTCAAAAATGATTTTTGTTATATCCGCTTATTTAGCCGGACATTAAATTTGAAAACTATGACATGATTATAAGATAATCAAAAAGTGATTAATTTTGTTAAGTTGAAGCGCATGCTACGCACAATATCAATTTTATTTGTTATAAGAAACCTCGGGACACATGGTCCTGGCAGGTTCGCTATAACCGAGGTGTACTGTAAACAGTGTCTGCCTATCTATTAAAGTATTTCAAAATTATCACACACATAAAAAGAAGAGAAATGTAAACCATGTGAGAATATCTAATTTTTAATAGATAAACATTTATGTATTTCAGAACATACCATGTGAGAAAGAATGGATTGAGAAACCTGAATATGTAAATAGTAGAATTAACAAACAAGATATTCAGAGAAAGGTTTGTTTGATTCATATTTAAGATTTCTTTCTTATTTTTTTCATTCAACTATAAAGAAATTTTGACCTTAAAAGATTTTGGCTAATTGTCGCTATTTAAAAATGAAAAAAAATAGATAGACATATGTAAAATCGATTGAAACTTGCAATTATGCATAGGAACCAGTTTTTTGGTACTTCTATAATGCGCATTTATAAATAACACGGAGTCAACCGACTAAAACATGGAGTAGCTAAACTGTAACGTGGAGTTTCGTATTTTACCATAGGGAGTACTATTGTTGGTGGGGGTTTATTTTGTTGACTGCTATATATAAATAGTAAAATCTAATATGAAGTTCATAATGCAAACCATATTTCTTTTTTTCAGATCAAGACACCATGTCTGGAAATGGACTGAAAAGCTTCTTCGTTTTTTCCCATTTGTCATCATTGTTTTTCCATTTCAAATGGGTTTTTTTGTTGTTATTTTTTCCCATTCAAAATGGGTTTTTAATTTGTTGTTTTTTTCCCATTCAAAGTGGGATTTTTACGAATCAAAGAAGAAAATCGAAATATCTAGTTAAATATATTTTAAATAACTAGAAAGATGTGTTTGTATTCCCTTTTCTCCTATAGATACCATTACACTACCTGTTTCACAGCGTTATCAATTTTCGACATTTTATTTGTTCACTCAGTTAACAAGATTTGTGTGCTCCGAACCAAACAGACAAAATAACAATGCCGATAATATTGTCCGAAACTACATTATCAACATAATTGTCCAAAAATCATCAGTCCTTAGATATAATGTAAATTGTCTGTGAAACGCTCTTATAGTGCTCTTTGAGTAATTTAAGCTGTCCCAGCAAACACCCGACGTTGACCCAACGTTGGATCAACGTTGAATTTTGGTCGCGACGTCGGTGACCTTCATTCAACGTCAAATCGACGTTGAATCCCCGACGTCTAACAGACGTTTCATTTTAACGTCGGCTCGACGTCGGGTTTTTGGTCGGTAATCTGACAATAGGTGAATTTAATTTATGAAACCAATATATATATAAATGAAAAGCATAAACAGCGAGATTTTTAAGTTTAAGTTTAGAAAGGGAAACATTATATATTTATTTTCTCCATCAAAACAACAGTATCACGTGTGGTGGCTAACGTACGGATTTATTCGATAGGTGGCGCTCTGTAAAACGGATAGTCGCAGATCAGTATGAAATATATTTGCTCTAATTTTCGTTTAAAATAATATCTTATCTCCTCGAATTAGTCTAAGAAGTGCATTATATAATTTACAATGAAGCTGTTATCATTTTTAAAGGGCTTCATTTTATAGTGGTATATAATTTAGTAAATTCGAATTTGCGACTTATCGGATTTGAAATTCTCAATTGTATTGGCGACAAAAAAACGATGGGTTGACAGACAAAGTTGTATATTCCAAACAAAAGAAAAAGGTAGGCAAACATTATGTATTGTTTTTTTCAATGCTAATTTACCGCATGTTTGCATGGATTCGATGGTTATTTGATCATTGAAATGTTTGACTGGTAAAACTTAACGTAACGTGATTTCGCGAGATAAAATTTTTGTTTTTCCACGTAAGAACACTTTATCATTTTGCTATAGAACAGTCTGTATAATCGGATCATTTTCCCCACACTATATCGCCATGCTAAATAAATGCACAATCAATGGTAGGAAATATCCTAGCAATTGAAATCAATAAAAAGTTAAATGCAGTACGTAAGACTCTTATTTTCTTATATTATGATAATGATTCATGGCATTTGATACATGTAAATGATACAACTTTGGTAAGATATATCTGAAAGCACATTGTATTTGACTAGCTATCTTTTTATTAATGTAATCAAACAACATATTATCAATCAGAAAACACATTATCATAGTTATAAATCAATAAAAGTATTAATAGTTTGTTAATTAGCCTGCTTATCAACAAGGTGTATGCTCGTATCATAAAACGTTTTTACACTAAGCCAGTCTGTCCTATATACACTTAGCAGACCAGATCATGCTGGGCAGAGATGATATCTATAAAAATGACCAGTAACATGTGAATTTCTTTGATGTATTATGAGCATTTGTACAAAGTACATTGAATATAAAAAAATAACAATATCAAATTTTTGCGGGAGTAGAATTAATTTCATTTTGGTATTTGTTATATTCAGTTTTTCATGCGCTTATGAGTTAACTAAGATTAATAGTAATTGGATTTTGCCTATTTGTATTAGAAAAACATCCTTCCACCACATGATTAAATTCTAAACGATTATATTTCGTCTTTCAGATTGTGAAAATTATGATAATTCAACATGTGTCAAAAGTTCAGGAGGAAGATGAAAATATTTAGAGGAAAAGAAAAAATGAAAACCTACCAAGATTTTGTGACAGGTATTATTTCAAAAACATTATAGAAAATACAGTGATCTTATTACCCTTGATTTTATAATGAAATTCACGAAGCCATTTTTATCAAAATTAATAGATATATACGGTAGGTACACAACTACATGGTTTAAACTAAATTAAAAAATAATAAGTATCTTTTTAAGTAGTTGGAGAGTTTTGTTAGAATTTCGTTTAATTAATAATATGTATAAGTGATTTATTTCTTGTACTTGTAACTGATTATTTTATTTTTTTTAATTTCAGAAAGTGTGATGAGATCTCAGGTTGGAGACGGTAATGATACGCTTATAGTGTGCCCCAGATCGACATAGTGTAGGAGGACGAAAGAAGCTAGAATACTAATGAAGATACATGAACATTACTATTTATAGTTATAACCAAAGGGACCCGGCACAGTGTTGGGATAGTGTAAAAAAAGTAATTCTAGAAAAAAAATTATACTTTATATATAATATATAGAGGATATTGAATGAGTGTAAGTTCAATACTGAATTTATTGCACGAGTTGAATAAAATTATATTATGCGAGCCTCTGGCGAGCATAATATTATTTTATTCAACGAGTGCAATAAATGCAGTAATGAACTTTACACGAATTTTATATTCTATTTATCACTACCCACCCAAAATAAACAAAGTTCAAAGTGAAATAAGAGTCATGTTTCATTGACGCGCCTATAGTATAACGCTAACATTTAGGCGCGTTCTTTACACTATGTTTGTATAACGCGCTAATGACGTCACGTCAAAAAATATGGCAACGGCCGAGCAATACCATATTTACGGAGTCGCAAAATCGGCACGGGTGTGTGATAAATTATATTATATACAATATATATATATTTTTTTTAAAAAATACTTTTTACACTATACCAACACTGTGCTGGGTCCCTGTGCGTTATAACAAAATATTCAGAAAATTTTTCCACTTTAACATTCAGATCTAAGATTCAGTTGTAAAAATACAAAGACAAATATACAATCAGTGGGTTGGATAGATGATTGAAAAATCCCAAACTCAGAGTGATCAGTTTCAGTGGTGATATAAGAAAAAGCACATGCATGGATTTTGCAATATATAAAATGTCGTGTTAATATATCAAGAAGACTTTGTTTATCTTATTATTTTTTCTAAAACATGCTTAATTAATACATGAAGCGTTATTAAAAGTACATACCGTCAAGTTTTAATAGTTTCAAAAATAATTTATGTAAATTCTTGCATTTGTTAAGGTACCACATTTTCTGTTTTGTACTTGTGATTCCGAGTATAAAATAAATTGCTTAAAATCATAAAAACAGCTTATTTATTAACCCTATTAAAGAGCTTCAAAATGAAAAAAGATCATATTCCAAAAGTTTTGAATGAGGTTAAATCATGGTCAGAAAATTTGGTCAGATAAGGTTGGCATATGGTCAGATAATGGCCAGAAAAGGTTGGATTATGGTCAGAAAAAGGTTGGATAATGTCCAAATAATGGTCCCCAGAAAAGGTTGGATTATGTTCAGAAATAGTCAAAGAAAAGGTTGGATTATGGTCAGAAAAAAGGTTGGATAAAGGTCATTTTATGACGTTGTATAGACGTCGGTTTCTGACGTCTAAAAAACTTTCAAAATCCAACCTTCATGCCAACGTTTACCCAACCTCAGGGTCTAACGTCAGTACAACGTCTTTTGTTTGCTGGGGTGAATCTAGTGCTCTGGAAGTAATGTTGACTGTATATGCAGTGCTCTTTGAGTAAAGTTTTAACATGAGTCATGGTAAATAATTTCATTGGAGAAGCGGAGTATCAGACTTGTGACCCCTTGATTTATATCGGACAGCGTTACCACTGAGCCCCAGCGCCCGCTCTGATTAACTTGTTTTGGAAGTTCCTTTATGCACAAACACATTAAATACCGTAAAAGTTGTTATGCATTTGAATTTGAACATCATATATCTACTTGCTGCAGCTGTAAATTCAAACGTTTTTAAAAGGCGTTGTTAGACATTTTCTAACATTCGCGGCCTTTCTCGAGGGATAACAATATAGACAACATTACAGAAACAACAGTCCGCCATGAGTAATATCAAGGTATCAAGCAGTACTTACTATGTAATGTTCAGTATTAAGTCAGGTTTATAGGTAAAGTTATCTCTACATCCGCAAGTAGCCGAAAGTCTTATACTATAATATTTTTCACATGTTTACAAACGTTCTTTTCATTTCTTTTGACTGCAATATGAAATACATGAAAAAAAAAAGGAAACAGAAAAACAATCAGAATCGCTTAAGAATGCCCAAAACGGCAGAATGAAAATGTTACATGCTCGGTTTGACGGTAATGGTTATTGCAAGCTACCGTCCACATCTCCTAAGCTGTATTCTACTTTTGAACAATTAAGGTGGACCGAACCGTCTAAGGACGTCCATATCGTTAATTTCTCCTTTCCTACAAGCTTCTGTCTTGCCCATTCATTAACTGCTTCCAATATCCATGTTTCGTCCTTGAAGAATGTAAAGGAGGCTTTTATCTTTCTGGTTGGGAAACTATCTGATTGAGGACTTCCATTGCAGGTTGCGGTAAAAAACAGTAATTATTTCAGTTGCAGTAACCCTCGTATATCATCGCGTTATTGAGAAGAAAAAGTAAACGTTTGTCCGTTGTAAAAATAAACTCGTGTCAACAGTCCAATAGAACTGTATACTGTCTAGATACTGACCGAAGTGAGGTAATAGAAAAAACATCGAACGCAGTTTCGACAGAAAGGTCCACAGTATCACTGTATATGTCTTTGTTGAATTGTCAAATGATTAGTAGTTGGTGATTTAACGGATAACATAGTAAAAAGTAAAAATCAAGGTGTAATGGCCTATAGTCAAAATGTAAAAGTAGCAATTTGCATAATGTACATTATTATAAAAACCCCACCTCGCCCTCTCTCTTATTAAAATTCAACTGTATCTTTAGAGTGATTGTTTTTAATTTATAGGACCCCTTTCAAAAATACTAAAAATAAACGCTTTCATGCATTTCATTACTGACCACAGGTTATATCTGGAGGCAGCAAGCTGTCTGCTAATAGCCTAAGTTCATTGAAATGCTCAAAATGACATTATTTTTGGGTTTTATTCTTTATACGTTTTATCTGTATAGAAATCTATTTTTTTTTAATTAAATAACCTATCCATTTCTGCAGGACCAAAACACTGCTGATCCATATAGTATGGAACATATAAAAACCTTGGATAAGCTACAGATACTAACATTCAATGCGCCCACTGATAATTTATTGAATTAAACTGTATTTATAAAATTCTCTGAGAGTAAATTATAAAAAGGCCATTTTAGTATATAAGTCCCTAAACACTCTCCTCCCATCATTTTAATAATAATAAACAATATGTATTCTTTATATAAATCATTTTTTGAACTGTATACTATATGCTACATTCTTGATAGAGACTCGAAAGGAAGCCTGAACTTGCCAAAAACTATGTTGCCCCTTTAAACCAAAGTCACCATCATCATAATCATCAGTTCATCATTATTATTATTTATTATTATTATTAAATTATGTACCAGTGTTTTTCGACATTTACAGCCTGTTCTATTATTAGTAAACTTACAAGTGTTGGCAAGCAAGAGGCAGTGTACAAATAACATACGTTACAAGGCTTACCTGATAAAGAAAAAAATATGATTCAAATCCATGCAACCTTAATTGTCATTGATTTTATTTTAAATTATCTTTAATTTATTTTTTAACCTCAGGACATCAAACTCAGTTTCAAAACATACAATTCAAAACTACCCAATATTATTAGAAAATATCAGATTACAGAAAAAAAAAAAAAACAACTGACTGGCTTAAATACATATATTTGTGGAACATCTATCCAATTATTACAGAAATATACTTATGAAATTGCATAACCCAGTCATTTAAAAATATAACACTTCTGCAGAAAAGCCTGTTAATAAACTTAAGGCTTAACTTTATTTTTTGCTAACGATTAATTTACTATGTGGAATGGAGAAATTATTAGACCTGCCAGTTTACTTGATTTATGTTATGAAAACATAGTAAAAGTCATGAAGGAAAAAAAATGGTCACATTATAAAAAACGTTTAAATGCATGCAAAGAATTATTTGTTGGGTTCCAGGGCTTTAATTTTCTTGGTCGTATCCTTTTATAGCGTTTGTCCATGCATCCCTTTCCACAATTACGTATTTAGGAATCTAAGTACATATAATGACATGGTGTTTTCCTGTGTTTGCCTATTTAAGCATCCATATTATTTGAATAAGAATGCATGTATGAAATAAATATGTTATGTTTTGTTAGAAACATATTTAAAGTAGTAGCATAATATTTTGTTCCGCATCATTTTATTCTGTTAATGCACAGTTTTCATGTGTTTTCAAGAAAAGAAATATCCTATGTTGAGAGCCGACCGTGAGATGGAAATATTTTAATGTTACCATTCTTGAATTTTATGAAATATTTCATTAGAATATTTCATTTTTGATATTTCATTAGTTTTTTAACTATTTAATTCACCATTAACTAATATCCTTAACTTTTACATAAAACGAACCCAAAATACAAAAGCATCAAACAATTCACAAATTTCTGTCTGAAACATGTAAGATATATTTTGCTAATAACAACTGCTTATTTTAACAATTAAAGTATGATTATTGTGAAATAACTTCTTTGGAGGCTTGTCAGTAAACAGCTTTCTGTCTCCACTAAATAAAACATGAGTGACCTGAAATTGACCTTACTTTCTGCAAGGCGTCTATTCTCTTCTATTTTTAATCTTCTTAGCCCAGATATAATATATTTATTAGAAAGCTTTGCCAAAAACACTTGTACATGTACAAAGTTACGTTCCCTATATATATATATTGGATGACAAATTGACTGTACCAATTTCATCACACGTGCGCTAATAGATAATGTATGGGTTATCTCAAATTGTCCAGGAGTTCTCTACGACTGTTACATAGTTTCTAGTCATTGACTTAAAACGACCATGGTCTCTGTCAACTTTGTTTCATAGATATCATAGATGAATGGAATTAATATTATCCTTTGAATATTAATGAATTTTAAAAAATGCTCAAAAACAAAGGGTTTTTAAAAAGCGGAAGCATTTGTCTAGTTAGCTATGACAAAAATTTACGAAAAGTTTGGTTTTTTTAAAAGGGCCCAACCCTTTTTTAGAAAAATTTTTTTGTTCATTTTTTAATTTAAAAACCCTTTATCTCTTTTGTTAAAAAAATGTACGGGGGGGATATGTAACAAAAAGAATTTATTAAATTTTACAAAAAAGGGAAATGTTCTTGGACACAGAAAAAAAAAAGTAAAAAATCGAGGTTTGAATCCCTTAAAAGAAAAAACGATTTAAAAAAAACTAAATGGGCTAAAAAATTAACCCCATATTTTTTTGCCCAAATTGGAAAAGTATCTTCCCGGGGAAAACAAAAAACTTAAACCCGATACACTTTTATTTTTAAATTTTCATATTTTTTAAAAGGGAAAAAAGGTTAATTTTTTTTATAAAACCCAAAGCCCCAAAAAAATTAAAAAAAAATATTCATTTTCTTAACTTATTGTGTTGATGGAGTGTTTTTTTATGTTTAAAAAGGCACATTATGCCTTAGAGAAATCCATATTATTCTTAAATGTTTAATAAGTTTTATTGCAACTATTATTTACATGTTACATGAATAATACAAAACAATATTCATAAAGAAATATGATGCAAATTGGTCGGGTACAAGTTATAACAACATTAGCAACAGCCCTCCCCTCAAATTCTTTAGAAATGTTACAGGATTTTGGGGCATGTAAGATAGTTAACAGATACAGAAAGTAGCGCTGGTTATGCTGAATGTGTCGTTAAGGTAGCAAAATGTAAAAAAGTATTGTTTTTACGTCCATAAAAAATACCAATTTAGTATAATTATACCAATTGCCAAATAAGAGCATAAGAATTAAAAGATTATTCATCTTTTTTTTGGCAAATGAGTTTTTTTTTAAAGTAACAAGATACTAAAAATTTAATGTTTTTAAGAAGTAAAATGCAATAGCATCGTTCCGAATTATAAAAATGATAGCTTTTTATAGGCATAATGAGCCTTTAATTAAAACTTAATAGAGAACAAAATTATCAATGCCGCTGCATTTTTCAGCATCTAGAACAACCTGTTAAGCCTCTATGGCATTTGATTAAAGAACAGATGTGAATATGTATAATATTTCATTGCATTGATCGGAATGTTTTCAGAGCACTCTCATCTTATATCTAAACCTTTGTGTTTACCCGACCTGTCAGTTTTAGCATAGACGTGATGTTATGAACGTCCATAAAATGACATATTTTTTTGAAAATATCTTGTATTATGGTACGTACATGTACTAGTCAAGGGTGGTTTCCTGTCTTAATGACAGGACTGGACAAGGTAAGTGTTTACAAAATGGTTAGAAGAGACACTGTTATAACTAGTTATACAAAAAATATTACATAATATATGACTGAAAACATTATAATAAATGTAAGAATAATATATATATATATTACAAAATAATTTAAATACAAGGTCATTCAATTAAAAAACTGAAGGTACTCCGTCGAAATGTTTTGACATGAAAGGACTGGAAAATTATAGGTATACTGGCTATATTTCTATTTCATTGCAAGTAAATTAATATCAAATAAGAAAGCGTGCATAATTAAGATTTATAGACACCTTTCTTTAATTTTAGTTTTCTTTTTGTTAAATTCTGTCTTTGCTTGAATGATGTCAAAACAACTAGATGTAAAATGAATAAATGATAAAACAGTGAATAAAGAAATATACACGAATCTACAAAGTGGAAAACATATGTTACAGGTGAGGAAAAATATGCAGTCTGACCGGGACTTGAACCCAGGAACCTTGGACAGCTTACTGCGGCTTTACAGACTTACTTATTTGGTCTCTTCATTTTATTTGGAATAAGTGAACATATATCAGAAATGAAAAAGGGTAATATTCATTTTCCTTTTAACTGATTGGTCAAGTTTTGTCTTTCTGTTGTCATTTATTCCACTGTTTCAGAGTTTTCGTTCTCGTTTTTCTGTTCATTTATCTCTTTATTTGAAAGTTCAAGTACAGGTTCTATGTCGCGATTTGAGAAATTTTTAAACCGCATACTTTTGATAGCCTCTGGGAAGCCTTCAACGTAACTTGTGCGTATATGATACGATTCTTCTTTAGTGGCATGCAAATGCATTGTGGGGCCCAAATAAACACAAAGAGGTTCCTCTTCTTCTTTTCCGCCAATTTTGATTGCCTCACCATATCTATATCGAAGGACAACAGTTAAATTATACGGAGAACTTTCCTTTTTGAGTATTAACTCTGGAATAATGTTAATAACGTTGTCATCTTGGTGCATTTGTCTTATTTGAAAATCTTGTTCAAACCTAAGACTTTCTATAGTGACTGTACCAGATATATCTAGGCCTAGGTCTCGAGGGAGTTTCAACTCTTTAATTGGCTCTAAAACGTATCCTTTTAATTCATCCCACGATATTGACTTAATTTGTACAATTGTATTCTCACGCACTTCTTTATTCTTTCGAGAAATACTTTGAGTTGGTTTGTAAAAATTGGCTTTAAACGGGGAATACAGAGACTTTTTCAATTGTTCATACGGACGTAATTTTCCAAGAACAATATTTGTTAAACACACATCTCTTTCTACATCTATTTGAACTGTACTGGAAATGCTATCATGTATGTATTTTTTCTCACCAATTGCAGAACTATTTACCATTATTGTTTCTGTCTCCCGAATACGCCTGACAACGGAGTTTGTAGAAACGGAAACATTCGGTATTCTATTGATGTACCCTGAAATGTCCGCATATTCTTCTACTGAGAAATATCCCTTTCTACTTACACTTCTAAGTAATAATTCACTTGTCAAAGTTGGAACCCGAAACTTTGATAAAAAACCACTCGCCCGAGATATTTACGGACATTCGTGCCGTTAACTTCTTCTTTTATTTTCTGGCAATCTTCTTTCTTGCCCATTTATCAACTGCTTCAAATATCTTTGTTCATCGGCATACAATGTATCACCTTTTAGAATGTTTAAAGGAGGCATTTCTCATTCAGGTTCATAAAACTTTCAGATTCGAGGACTTCCAATGCATGGTTGTCGACAAAAGAACAGCAGGTGTCTCTCAAGTGCAGTGAGGTCGCTTACAACATCGCGTTATTGAGAACATCACATTGCGTTTTCCGTTGTAATGACATTCATCAAAAAGTCTGCACAATACTGTACAAGACTTGAAACTTGATAGAAGTGAGCTATACGCAAAATATCAAACGCTGTTTCTGCAGAAAGGTCCAGGCTTTCGCTGTATATGTACCTAGTGAGAATGTAAAACGGTTTGAGTTAAGTAACATTGTTTATGCTTATAAGTTAAAGTAATAACACCATAACGTACATTTTTACAAACATAATATGATACTTATGTAAAATGTAAAACTATTTATAATACCTATGTTGCTATACATAGTAATAAAATTTAGGTATTTCTAGGCCATTACCGGCTTATTTGAGGCAATATCTAGGTCATTATGCAATTTTGGTCGCCATGCTCATTACTTTTTCAATAATGGGCGACTGAAAGAACGCACGTGCAAAATGACGTAATCAACTTTTAGTGACATTTAAGATGGCTGCTGTCGTTGAATAAAGTGTATTTACTTGCACACAATATTTTAAGTTTAGATGACATAAACATTCCCAATCTACAACGCTTTACATTGAATATCTTTACACTCGAGAAAAAATCCAATAACTGTGCCCAAGCCAAAACCTGACCCTCAGAAATTCCGAAAATGACTTCAGACTGACGACAAATCTCCTTTACAGACATGGAAGCAGAATTTTTAAAAAACGATATTAAAGCTAAGATTTATATCTAGTTGTGGATATATATAAAAATAGAAACTAAGGGGTGCATCTTCCCCATAAAAACTTAAGGCAAAATAAGGGAATTTGAACAAAGGGGAAAAACTAGAACCATAAAAAGAAAGGGGGGGAAAAATCGGGGGGAAACTAGACCTAGATTTATAATTTTACAACATCAGAACGTTCTCGAACGCACACACAAGTTAGTTTATAATGCACTTGAGCACCTGTTTGATAGGGGGAATAGTGTAAAGCGTGTTAGAATGCATATATATACACACACACTTTTGGTCATGGAAAAATGCAGGATGTGTTAGAATCTTCTATATATCATAGCGATTCTGTGCACCGTTTTTCACTGTTAACTGTCTTATATCTATAAGAATTATGATTTTTTTGCAATGCGTCGATCAGCATCAAACCAACAATGCATATTCTGTTTTATATACATCAATTGCCTTTAAAACACGTTTACTAAAAACATCAGCAATTACTTAAGACAACCAGCAAATACCTCAATTTAGATAATATAATAATATACATTTACAATATACCGTCACATATTCTGGCCAAACGTTACAATCATTAGTTTCGCACACCGATTACTTATTGATCCATATTCATTTACTTATACCCAGATTTAAAAAAGTCCATGTTATTCTAACCTACAAAACTATTTTTTAATGAGAACAATTTTGGACAATAATAATAGTATTTAGTGTAGTTTGCGCTTGACAGTACCGTCCTTGAACAGGCTCAATAAAACCGAGACTTCAACATTTTCAATTTTGCCGCGTTGGGCTTTCTTTAGGGATTCTTATTTTACTCGATCTATTTTATCGCCACATCAGCGATGTTTGTGCCGTGTGGAGGCTGTGAAAAGTCGCCCCTTACATTCAATAAGGGATGTTATATTTTTGATCCTTAAACATCGTTCAGCACGACATTATTGGTGTGCTTGTGGTATTTTAGTTCTATCTATTCGGCATCTTTCTTGTTGGGTGGTTCCAGTATTCCTCGCTTGAATACCCTTAGGATATGAGGCCTGTTTTTTAAATTTGTCTTTAGACGTTATATCTGTGTGATATGCAGGCTTCATAACCTCAGATCCCCTCTCAAAATTCTATTTTATTTAGTTCCGCCCATTGTTTTCTCGTTTAGGGCACACGCATTTTTTTACTTGGGGACCATATGCCGCTTTTTATGGAATAGCACTAACGTGTCACATTGAAGGTTCCATGATAACCGCCATATGAACACATCAGCGGATGTTTCAAAATTCTAACTTCTACCAGTTCATGTTAAATGTTGAATTCTGCTTAAGCCGGTGCTAGGGGGCGTGGACGGTAGTTTGCACTTGACAGTACAGTTCATGAACAGGCTCAATCAAACCGAGCCTGCAACATTTTAAATTTTGCCGAGTTGGGCTGTCTTTAATTATTCTTATTTCACTCTATTTAAACATGAAATTAATTAATAAATCACAAAATAACACGGCTATGTTATTCAATAATCTATTAAAGTGCTTTAACCAGGTTTGTTACAGTACAATGTATAGCAAGCACAGTTTCCATTAGTCTTGAGTTCCTTCCCCTTATACTACGTTATAGTAAATGTAGGCAGGGAACCAGACTAAGTTTCCATCCTCTAACATAACATTTTTAATCAATGAAACATTGCATAGAATAAATTATATTTACACATTATAGCCGATAGTCTGTCTATTTGAGAAAGAGTATGCATTACTATCCGACATAATTACATATCATTACATATTGATATTTTTAATGAAAAAAATGACATTTCTTTCCATTTCTACTGTTTAAATCTCCAGATTAAAGATATCGTGAACACTGAAACGAATTTGAATTATGATTACTGTCAACTGCTGATTGTAATCTAAATTTGAAAGATAATTTGTCCAATTTTGATAATAAATTACAATTTACTAACTCTATTCACCATGATTCGTTTTATTCATTTACGTAAATTTAAAGAAATACATGGCTAAAATGTTTGCACTTTTTTCTATCTAAATTATGCAACATAAATAATGCAGCGATAAATATAAGTGTTTTGAGTTATCGCAAAAAAAAAAAAAAAAATAAAAATAAAATAAATAAAAAATCGCTTATTGCAAACAGATAATTATGTGCATCACTATCGTAGTAGAATTCATTATTATAATTAATATTACTGAACTGGAATAAATGAGCGCAGTCTTCTAATAAATAATTCATCACTTCAAATGAAAATATTTGTGATCGATAACTTTCATGGTTGTGAGCATCTAATTTCACTGTCCCTTAATTTAATATGAAAAACTTATCGTTTGTTTCCACTTGATTTTTATTTATCTTTTTATAATGATTTTTTACCCTGTTTTGGTTGGGTTTTATTTTGCACCAACACAATAAAGGTCATATGGCAACTTTCCAGTTTTACTTGTGGAGAAAGGTAATATTTCAGACACGAAAGAGCACCTGTGCAGAACCACCGATGTTCCGTACGCTAGTTTGATAGCTTCCCAACATGAAAGAATTTAAAGTCCCTGTCTGCATTCGAACCCATAGACACGAGGAGCATGTTTTTTTGGAAATTGATTTTAATAAAAGTGGCATCAATATTTCTCTTCACTCAGTGCGACTGCATTTGATATAATATCACACCCGTCATGTTAAATCCAGAAATGCATTTCGTACTACATTAACAAGGAAAGGTGCATGGCATAGATTTACAGGCTATTTTAAACATCCAGAAGACCCCCCCCCCCCCAAGTGACGAATTTTTGTATTGTTTTTAAGATAAAAACTTATGTAAGTAACTAATTTTTTTAAAGATTGTAACAGTATATACATTTATAATTCATAGAATTTAAATAAATATTGGAATTCTAAGAAATATGTTTTTCAGTCAAAATTTCCGAAATGATTAAATAATTCTATATATGAAAGTTCTGCAATTATCCAATAAACCAATTGTCACCATGGCTCATCATTTTGTTAAGTGCACAAGAAGAGCAAACATTAGGCATTTGTAGTTTTGAGCTAGTACACAAGGTGCACGGGGCTGATTGAGAATACAACTGTTCTCTTGGGGAATTTTGATTAGTTGGGTTTTTAAAATATTTAAACAAAACAAGTTTGACAACATACAGCGACTGGTAGAAAGAGAATAGCTGTAAAATGACAAGTTACGTGGAATAGTCAAAACGTTTCCGGACTGAGGTGATAGTTCCACTATAACGGCACGAAATTCAATGAAAATATATACAATAAGATAGATAAAATGACACTTTTAAAATGTTTTAAAAAATTAAATTATTGAATCAAATATAAATTCTCGAGGCTTATTACAGAACATGCATGGTACGATGCACGGGGCACGTTTACTTCAAACATGTGTTTAGTTCTAGGATGACCTAATAGCTCTTGCTTTCTGAGATGATGGAAGCAACTTGTGTTTTCAAACCATACATTCCCGTTGGTTAAGAGGTAATTGAAATTTATTAAAAAAAATTTTTCTCAAAAGGCGCGGAAAGAATTTTTTCCAGATCTTCTACTTACGTAACGTACAACATCGTTTACCCGCGAACCGTTGGTGCACTTGGATATGACTGTTGTAGAATTGTCTACAAGCACTTCTTTACCATAGGAAATAAATCGTCCGTGAGCACTTGCAATGTCCGCATTATTGATACATTATAACGTGTCTTTATGATCTACAAATTCATTAACAAATACCAGCGAGCACCGTCATTGTTTCGACAACAAAATAATTCATTTTAAATAAACATTAAGTCTGAGAGAAAGAGTAGAGATATGAAATCAAAATTTTCTGTGCGTTGCAAACACGTTTTTGACATCATTCATAATTCTTATACATTTTAGCTCCACTTTCGATCAAAAAAATATGAGACGTTTAAGTTTAAAAAGATCTATTTAATAATGCAGAATTACGGGAATAGCACCATGTGACGCATCAAGGGAAAATAATATCATATTATTTTAGTTATCGACCCAGTCCATCAGCTAAATGACTATACCTCATATTTACCTTAGGAATAAGTCGAATGTTTCCCTGGTCACGTGTTCCAGTTCAACATCGTCTCTTCTATCAGCACATGGGCCAAAGAACATCGCCCGGAACACTGGACTTCTGGCAGCTAAAACTATCTTATGTGCTTTGATTGTAGCCGCCTCAGGTTGATCTTTGCTGTGGAAAGTCACATCCGTCCAAAGACTTTGGTCATACATTTCTAACATACATGCTCCGAGACCTTTGCCTTGTTGCCAGTCGGCATTAAACGTTTGTTTACATTCTACAACGTGAACAGTGTCTTCTGACTGCATACTTAACATATCTGTTATATTGATATTAGAACAATTGGCAAAAAAATATGTATGTGTTTGCGACAAATATATTTGTATATTATTTGATGACCTGGATTTTATAGTACTGTTCAGATAATAGTTATCAATTGTTAGAATACTGCACTGTTCGAGCTCAAATGTACAAAAGTATAACCACGAGTGATTAATTTCAAAGCATTTGACCGATAAACCATTCATTATTATACTACGCAAGAAAAATGAATATCTTTTTCCATTCTAACATAAAAGAGAATTAGAAAAGAATTGATAAAAATATGTTGGTTGAAGTAAGCAATATGTCATGAAATCTTCCTTTATAAATGCACCCGACTCTCCTATCTGTTTTATAGGCTAATTAGAATGTAATATATAAGTATGTTGTTAAACTAGATGAAATAAGCATAAACTTACGATTTGTATCTAATTTCCAAAACTATTCACTATTTTAGTGCTTTAAGCGCAATGGTTATCAACTGGACTAAATGCTAGACTTTACCCTGCTATCACCCGAAAGAATAATTGCTGAAGACTTTGGTCTCAATTCAGTCAAGTATTTTATTGATCACAATTCGATCAATATGGGTTTGTTAATGCTAGTATTCATTTAAAATTAATCTCTATTGAAATGTTTTTGCCTTATTAAAATAGCTATTATATGTGCACAAAACGTAAATGAAAAGATTAAACGAAAAACGGCAAATTTTACGGTTTCAGCTATCAAGAAGCATATACAACGCATAATTTATAACTCATTGATTACTAATTATTTTTATTTTCTCCTTTACATAATATCGAACATAATATGCATGTTTCAATTCGTACAAAGGATCAATTATACAGTATACCGGTATATAAATACAAGATCTATATGTTAAATATAAATGAGTAAAGTAATTCTTTTATTCACTTTTCATAAAATAAGAATATCTTTAAGAAAGGACATGTGCTTTATTCTGTTTGAAAAATTGATGTAAGATGATTATCTCACGAGGAAAGCAGCGATAAAAGTCAATAATATGACATAAACATAGAAAAAAACTTAAAATAAGTTGTATTTCATCTTTATAAAATTTCTAAATTACAAGGGCAACATTGTCGCAAAATACGCCCATCACAAAAGTTTTTGACAGAGATGTGGGCATTATAAATATGCATATAGGATCTATGCTCTGGGTAATATCCGGAAAATATCTGGAGGAATTGACCTTGCAAATATTAACCTTACTTACACGTGTCACACTTGTAGTCACAATTGCTATCATTTGTATTATAATCCTTAAATAAATGATGACTAAATAGTCCCTGTACACATCTTCTTTTTTTATTTTTATCTTAACTTTGACCTCTCTATGTGACCTTGACTTTTGTAGCAGGAAGCTATTATGCCCGCGATTCTTATCTTCACAATGGTGGATATTTGTGCCAAGTTACATTAAAATCCCCCAATGACTGTAGAAGTTTTGCTACACACAAGCATGGTTCAATGACCTCTAAGTGTGGCCTTAACTTTTAATCTAGATACTTAGTTCATGCACGTGACACTGCTGCTCATAGTGATCAACATTTCTATGAGGGTTCATTAGAATCCCACCATGCGTGTAGGAGATATGCTCTGTAAAAAATCTCTATATTTCATTATCTTAAGTGACCTTGATCTTGTATATATTAACCTAAATTACCTGTTCTTCATCCGTAGTCATGATAATGACCATTTGTGTTTCTATTCATCAATAAATGATGACTAAATGGTACAAATACACATTTTCATCTTTTTATTTGAACTTTGACTCCTATGTGTGACCTTGACCTTGGTTAGAGGGACCTGAATTTCGCACGTGGCAAAATATGGTGAACATTTGTGCCAAGTTATATTGAAAATCCCTCTATGTATGTCGAAGTTTTGACTATAACCTTTTACCTAGAGACCTGGTTCATACGCATGACACTGCTTCTTATAGTTGTGAACATTTCTTTGAAGTTCATTTGAATTCCTCCATGTGTGAAGGAGAAAATCTCTGTATTTTATACACCTACCTTGGCTTTTCAGACTGGTTCATGTTTGCTTTTTTAAATTAGTGAAATGATATAAGAAATCAAAATTATGTTTTATGGTAATATTTTATTTTCATTTAACTGATTGGTCAAGTTTTGTCTTTCTGTTGTCACTTTTTCAAGTGTACCAGAGTTTTCGTGTTCGTTTTTCTGTTAATTTGACTCTTTATTTGTAAGTCAAGGTTTTGGTTCTATGTCGCAATTTGAGAAATTTTTAAACCGAATACTTTTGAGAGCCCCTAGGAAACCTTCAACGTAACTTGTGTGTACATGACACGATTCTTTTTCAGTAGCATGCAAATGTTTTGAGGGTTCAGAAAAAACGACACGAAGGTTCTTTGATACTTTACGCCAATTTTGATTTCACCACCATTGTTATTGAAGGACACCTTTTAATTATAGGAGAACTTTCCTTCTTGAATATTCACTCTGGAAAAAAATTAATAATGTTATCGTCTTTGTGCATTTGTCGTGTTTGAGAATCTTGTATAAAGCTAAGATATAGCGACACTGCCTGGTAAATCAAGGCTCAGGTATTCAGGGAGTTCTTACTATTCAAGTGGCTCTAACACGCATCCCTTAATTTCATGTCATGACATTGACTTAACTTATAAAATTTTATTCTGACGCTTCATTATCATTTTGAGAAATACTTTGTGTTGGTATGTAAAACTCCTCTTCATACGGGGTTTACAGAGACTTTTTCAAGTTTTCATACGGCATTATTTTCAAAGAACAATATTTGATAAACACACATCTCTTTCTTCATCTATTTGAACTGTACTGGAAATGCTGTCATATTTGTATTTGTTCTCTTCACTTGCAACACGCTCTGTCATTAATTTTTCTGTCTTCCGAATACACTTTATACCGGAGCTTGTAGAAACGGAAATATCAGGTATTCCTTTGATAAATCATGACATATCGGCATATTCTTCTACTGAAAAACATCCCTTTCTACTTACACTTCTAAGTTATGATTTATTTGTCATTGTTTGTTCACGAACTTGATAAAAACACACGCCGAGAAATTCACGGACAATCGTGCCGTTTCCTATTTCTTAATTTTCTGCAATCTTCTTTCTTGCCCATTTATCAACTTCTTCCAGTATATCTGTTTCGGTCGCATATGTACAATGTATCACCTTTTAGAATGTAAAGGAGGCATTTCTCATTCGGGGCGATTATTTATTTTGCGGACCGATTTTCGCCTTCCCGGCCAATCTCTTATTATCAATAAGTCTGCACAATACTGTAAAGATTAGAAACTTGGTAAAGGTGAGCTATACGCAAAATTTCAAACACTGTTTCTGCAGAAATGTCCACAGTATCACTGCATACGTCATTCCTGTCAACCAATCGACCAAAGAACATCGCCTGAAACACCAGACTTCTAGCAGTGAATTATAGGATAATTGTAATAGTTTATCAGTTTATTATAGTTCATCAGTTTATTATAGTTTCTGTTCCTATCATTTTCAGATCTTGATCATTGTGTAATACTGTTGAATAAAGATACTTACAAATACTTAGATAGAACTCTTATTTATGATCAAGATACAGTGACGCAAGAACAATTCCTGCAGTACAGTGTCCGTTTCCTGACTGTGACTACAGCACCGCCGACCTATATGCAGCGATTGTCTCGGCCCTTATCACAGTCCACAGTCCCGTTCACACAACTTTACCTGTTTTGACTGCTGGAACCAGCGACGACTGGGCCTACTTTCTATCACGCTGGACATACAGTACTATGTGGCTGCAACCTAACTGGACGGCAAGGACAAAGTCATTCAGTTGCTTGAGTGTTGTGACGAACCCCTTCGCAGAGACCTGACTCGAACAACAGGTGGAAAATTAACTGAAAAGGAAGTAGACAATGTATTAGCCGCCATTCAAAAACCTGCTGTTCGTGAAGAAAACACAATGGTAGCTTGTGTGACATTACATAACGTGAGACAAGACCGCCATGAGTCAGTCAGAAACTTTGGTGCACGTTACAGAGGACAAGCTGACAATTGCAAATTCGTGATTGACTCTAGTGCCAAAATCAACCACACAAAAGTCATCATGCGCGATGGCCTCACACGAAGTGTTGTTGACCCCGACATTCAGCTAGACCTACTTGGCGACAAAAATCAAAATATGACTTTGGAGGAAGTATTTCAATTCGTTGAAGCGAAGGAAGCCAGGAAACGATCATCTTCAAGGCTTTTAGATTCTCATTCGGTTGAGGCAGCCAGCTGCTACAAAGGGTCCAAGCAAGTCCTCAGCAAGGACAATCGACACTTGTGTTCTTATTTTGAGAAACGCGGTCATGGCAAGAAAAGTGTAACACAACTGCGTTAGACTCAGTGTCCTGCATAAGGCCACAGGTGTGAACTTTGTCATCAAGATCACCATTTTGAGAATATCGGCCGCAGCAAGGACAACTCAAAACGCCAAACACAGTCTAGCCAACACAACTTTGGCAAAGAAAGTGCTGTGTTTAACACCTTGTGTACACTGAATTCCCCTTAACCAAAGGATGACAATCTAAACACTATTCAAACCGGACAACGGCAAAGAATTTCACTAGATCATTCCATCTACGACATACACGTGATTTCGCAGAAACTCAAATCCTCAGCCATTTGTGAAAATTACTGTGCGAGCTCTTCCTGAAGATTACTCAGCCTTTGGAGCCGACCTGCCAACACCGTCAGCGCCCACCATTGGAACCTCTTTGATACGGTTCTCAAGCAAAGACAGTAGTGCCAGAGTGGTGGAAACGAGGCAGATGACATATGTTACAGACTCTTCAGACAAACTGTTCCTGAGCAGAGAGGCATGTGTACAGCTCGGTATCATCAGCAATAGGTTTCCAGAGATACAGCCCCTTCAAACCGGTACAGCAGCTATCCATGGAGAGAACACTGCGCCATGCGGATGTCCTAAGGGCAAATCTCCACTTCAACCGCCATGTGTTCTGCCATTTTCACCTACAAAAAAAAACCGCTCAAAACTACAGGAGTATCTTCTTGATTTCTTCAGGTCCAGCACATTCAACACATGTAAACACCAGCCTCTGCCTCTAATGGATGTCCCACCTATGAAGCTTATGGTGGATCCAAATACAGAACCAGTGGCCTACCACACACCAGTACCTGTTCAAATATACTAGCGAGCTGCTGTAAAAGAAAGCCTTGATCAATATGTACGACTGGGCGTGCAGGAATCCGTCCCCGTCGGAGAACCTGTCACGTGGTGCCATCGGATTATCATATATGCTAAAAAATGGACAGCTCAAACGAACAGCTGACTTCCAGGTTCTCAAAACATATGTCACACGTGAGACACATCACACACCTTCCCCATTCCTCCAAGCGCGATCAGTTCCAAATGGGAAGAAAACGACAGTGTTTGATGCCTAGAACGGCTATCATAGTGTCCCACTATATTAAGAACACCGACATCTCACAACATTCATCACGCCATGGGGAAGAAACCGATACAAAACCGCCCCATAAGGCTACATTACCTCAGGTGATGGTTACACGAGACGCTATGATGAGGTAGTTACAGAAATTACAAACAAAACCAAGTGTATTGATGATGCCTTACTCTGGGCAAATGACCTAGAAGAAAGTTTCTTCCAGGCAGTGCGTTGGCGTTACGTCTGTGGAAGGAACGTTATAACACTAAACCCAGAAAAGTTTGTCTTCGGAGCAGATGAGGTCGAGTTTGCCGTCTTTGAAATCACTCGTGATGAAGTCAGATCCTGTCAGAGATGCCTGCAAGCCATTAAGGAATTTCCGACAACAAAATGCATCACAGACGTGTATTCATGGCTTGGCCTTGTAAATCAGGTGTCATATGTTTCCAGTTTGGCGGAGCGCATGTTACCATTTCGTAATCTCTTGAAGCAAGGTACTGTTTTCCATTGGAATGAACATCTTCAGACAGTACTTGATGCGTTATGCGCACAGATTGTAAAAGAAACAGAAGAAGGGGTTCGCATCTTTGACCCTGACAGACCCACATGTTTCACAAATGACTGGTCTAAATCAGGTATCGGGTTCTGGCTCTTTCAAAAACACTGTAAATGTGATAAGACATAACTTTTTTATTGTCCATCTGGGTGGAAAATCACACTTGTTGGCAGCAGATTCACTCATTCAGCATAATCACGCTATGCACCTATTGAGGGTGAGGCACTAGCAGTTGCAGATTCCCTGGACAAGGCCAGATACTTTGTATTAGGATGCAATGACTTAACCATTGCGGTTGACAGTAAATTATGATAAACAAGATCGACAAGGAAAGGCGGCGTTCAATGAACGCAGCCCCCACTTCTCAAGATATTCAGTGACCAATCTATTGCGAACATTTCAACAATCGCCTGAGAAACATGGATATGTTACTACTGAGTGAGATCATAGAAGGTGGAATGCCACAACACCGCCATGAAGTACCAGAATATCTACGACAGTTTTTCCAGTACCGTGAAGGCTTCTCGACCACTGATGGGTTATTCTGCAAGGACCGTGTAGTTATCCCGCAATCACTCAAGAAAGAAGTTCTAGATGCCTTACATTCAGCTCACCAAGGTGTTACATCCATGATAGCTCGAGCTGAGACATCCGTATTTTGGCCAGGGATCACGCCGGACATTAGCATCCTTGGTGCAAGATGCCAACAATGCAACCACAATGCACTGTCCAACCCGAGTGCTCCACCAATGAGCCATGAGTATCCTTTCCATTGCATCTGTGCTGATTACTTTACTTACAAAGGTAACCATTACCTGGTGGTTGTGGCCCATCGTAGAGCAGTCAGCCGTATGAGGTCAAGGACTGTTAACTTGCCTCAGGCGCATCTTTGTAACATACGGGATACCTGACGAACTTGCATCTGACGGAGGACCAGAATTCACAGCTACAGCTACAAGGCAGTTCCTATGAGACTGGGATGTTCATCATAGATTATCCTCAGTAGCCACCCCAACAGCAACTGCAGAGCAGAGATTGGAGTCAAGGCTGTCAAACGCCTTCTAATGGACCATACTAGCTCTTCTGACAAAATTGACACAGACTCTTTCTAGCGAGCCACGTTATAATACAGAAGTACACCAGACAGAGACACGAAGCTCTCACCAGCCATATGCATATTTGGTCGATCAATAAGAGATTTCATTTCTGCGCAACAGACATATGCAATGTGCAGAAAGACTGTCGGAACATACACCAAGACTACCACCTTATTCTGTTCTCGATCGGATGTAAAACCAAATTGGTTCATTCCCTCGCAAGTGGGATAAGACAGGAGTTGTCATTGAGATGCGCCCGTTTGACCAGTACGTTGTGCGCATTGATGGTGCTAGACGTGTCACTCTGCGGAACAGGAAATTTCTTTTGCAAATATGTTCCAGTTCAGTTGCCGCCAAAGCGACTTACCATAGACACTGACACTACGCTACATGTACATCAACCATCGTTTTCTTGGTTGAAGTCTGTCACTTCCCCAACTGTTACTACGGACACAACTGTGAAGCCTGAATTAACAACACCGATGAATACAGTAACAGCGCTGGAACGGTCACCCGTGCCTGCATACCTGCATGTCACGGAAGCCTCACACAAGACACCTACTTGCACCCAGGTACAAATCCCATGTCATTAGCTCACATACACTGAACCAAGAACTCAATATGCCAGGTCACCACCAGATGTTGCCACAGGACCACCTTGTGCTAAAGCATAGGTTGTTCCATCATCAACGGTTGAGTCTACTTCCACCCCGCCACGACGGTTCAGCCGCATCAGGCATGTCCCAGAATGGCAAAACGACTTTGTTTGCGAATAAATGCACACACCATGAACTCTACAATCAGTGTATAAAGTGAATAAATGAAGACTTTGAACGGTCAATATTCTAAAAGACAATGATAAATCATTGGTTATTAATATTATCATGTGTTTCTTTACTGTCAAGTTAAATATCAGTCTTTTTCATTCAGTTGATTATGTTCATAAACTAAATAGATACTGCCTGCTAAAAGACTTGGGGGAGATATAGGATAATTGTAATAGTTTATCAGTTAATGATAGTTCATCAGTTTATTATAGTTTCTGTTCTATCATCAGATCTTGATCATTGTGTAATACAGTTGAATTAAGATATTTACAAATAGATAGAACGCTAATTTATAAATACTATCTTGTACGCTTTGATTTTAGCCTATGGTGGCCGATTGCGCCCATTAAACCCTCGAGAAATTTTATCGTTTTATCATAAAATGTCGAGAGCATCTTACAAACCCTCGATTATTTTCTGGCGAAATCGTGAAAAATGTCACGGGAACGTGTAAACCTCAACCAACATTTGTTGGAAACAGCAAGGAACATTTTAACTTCAGTGGCCCAATAGCGTCCATGGTTTTAATCTACATTTTTCTCTCGTTTGCCATTAAAAAGTCGAAAAACAGAAAGAAATCCGCGACTTCTTTTGCAAGTGTTGTAGAATTCTACAAAAGGCGAGGTAAAACTTATAAGCTGCGATTTTTTGTTCCTCAACATCGGTATCATAACATATCGCGTCGAGTGATAGCAATTTTCAGCCGCGAGATTTTGCCCATGAACATTTCCCGGTATTAAGAGTCTCAGCTTAATTCTCAAAATAAGGTATGCATCAAAACAAAATATCGCGATTACAATGGCCACAATCGGCTACCTAAAGTAGGCATATGTTTGCGTTGCTAAGTCTACAATGTAGACAGAAAATATCGCGACATTTTATACAATTTCGACACGCGGATTTAAAAGTTCCCCGACATTTTATAAAATGATGGCAACATTTCTTGCTGCTTTAAAATGGACGCTACGGCCACCATAGTAGCCACTTAGAATGATGTTTGTAGCGAAAAGTAAAATCAATCCATAGAGTTAGGTTAATGATATATTTCTAACATGCATGTTGCCTTGTTGCCAATCGACAATAAACGTCTGTATACATTCTTAAACGTGAACGGCATCGTCTTACTACATACTGAATAAATCTTTTATCAAATGGCATCCAAAAATGTACCTGTATCATTCGCAGAGAAATTAAAAGACATGTATTTAAGAAACAAGTATTTGCGTGACAAAATTAATAAAAATTTTACAAAACATTCAATAGATATACACTGTAGTCAGTTTACATGCGTATAACTTTGAACTGAATGTCATCATTAAAAGAATATCAATGCTCTAATGACTACCGTAACAAGATTTATCTAATGTTAAAAATACCTTTTATTCACAAGCACGAGGTGTCAAATTAACAATAGCTACAAATCTTTTGTAAGTTTAAATTAAACTGTATCACAATAATTATAATGATTATTGCAATGCTTAATCAATAAAAATACGCGATTTTATATTTGATACCTGTAATTTGAACGCGTCTTTGATCAAAGAAGTAACCAATGTCATTTGAGGAAATATCAAGTAGTGTGTGTACAGTTGTAGGGATATTTAGTATTTGTCATCCAACGTAAGTTATGAATTTTGCAATAAATCTGTCCACTTTCATTAATAAAACAATAAGATTTTCATAATTATGTCTAAAGCAGTAATAAACATGGGGATATTTTTTTTCGGAAAAAAATGCAGGAAATGTGTTAATAATACACCATTGCTTACACGTTTAGATGGTGGATAGAGAATAGCTGGCGATTTTCCGGGCAGACATAAATACAGTCACGAACAGAAACCTTTTGAATTTATTGATCTTTCTGCAAAGAATCAGCAAGATTATCGTTTGATTTCATTTGTAAAAAAGCCTATTGGTCATATTCTTAAGAGTGCGAACTATTGATGAATCTGACCATTTCAACGGATTATCGCAAAGGAATGTTAATGGACAAGTATTACTCCGGTCCAGCCTTATCAATGACCAGAGTTTTGTATGGCGGCCACTCAGTTTGAATATTTTATTATTAAAGTACATTGAATTTACAAGGTTTGTCTTTTAAATTATCCATGATGCGGTTATGTTATTTGTCTTCGATGTTCTTTAGCTGTTGTTCGCCACTAACATGTTTTACTGGTAATAATGCACAATGCGATATCACAGAGAAATCATGTTCCTTTAGAAAAAGTGCGCGTTGAAATTAAGAAAAGTTATGTAAGTTCACTTTCTTTATCGTGACAGTGGACAAACTACAAGGGTAACATGACTGTTATGTCTTAACACAGGCTAGAAGTTAATATATAAATGTATATTCATATTTGGGTAAGGACAAAGGTGACTGGGTACTGGGGATTTTGACTTTAAAGATATACTATGCTCATCTTTGGGTAACATATTTTTATCTTAGAAATGTATTGAAATCCATGAAATTCTTACTTAATATGTTTAATTTGAATAAAATAATGAATAAACTATGTATGGGAAGCTGCATTCCCTATTACGGGTCAAGTTAAGTTGGTCTCTTCTTAAAACAACTGCCAGTTTTTTTAATGACACTATATATTCATATTGTGACCACCTATAGTGTGTAGAGTTTAAAACATAACATATCTACTTTAAATGAAGTCAAAACATATTTATTTTTTCCTAAATGTTTCTTTGTGGTTGGAGCACTGCCCATATAAACACTGAGTAGGAATACTCGCTATTCGCTATACACTTTCAAGTGCCTGAGAGGGTAGAAAAATAATCGTGTTCATAGAAATGAATGATAAAATCCATCTTTTGACGGTTAGCATTACATCTTTACATCTTTACAGCAATTTTTTTCATGTGTTCAACCAATCAGCAATACTCACAATACATCTGACTGGCTTTCAAGGTATCGGGTTTAAGGAAAGATAATTTATATGTTAAAATATCTTAGGTTGCGAATGGAGTAATTAAATTAATGAAATGATGAACAATACAAACTTAACTTCATTCTAGTTATCAAAAGTCTTATATCTGTTTATCATTTGATAAAGCAGTCACAGTGCATCGAACCTGACAATTATGTGGTAATATTAATGCCCGGACTTAATCTTGATCTCGATCAGGAAAAGATTTATCCCCTTTAAAGTCTCGTCTTTATACTTTAAGTATAATTCAGATCAGGGTCTTTATATTTGAAGGATCATGCTTAGATTTATAAAGCCTTTTTAAATTCATTTTTATTAAAGGTTGACAGTTTAACATTGCCGACGGAAAATAGTACTGGAAGAAGCATTATACTTCAAATAAAACAATGTTCAAAATAAAGCAATCCAGCAATGTAAGTTATCAATTAATATATTCAATGATTATTGCATTACCTGCATTATTTATTTTACTAGTCCATTAAGAAATCTTTCTATATAAAAGGGTTTATACTAAATTGAAGGTTTATTCAATGGTTTCGTATATAAACATCTGCAAATACATGTTACGTCGTGATTTTCACGTGTTAGTGCGATGTCTTTTGACAGTTATGTTTTTATAATGAAACTGTCTGGGTTATCATTGCTGTATTTTTTCTCCATTTAGTGCTACAAATAAGCCTATTTTTAGCCTGTTCAGATGGGTAACTGGCCTATGTCAGCCAGCATCATGTTTCATATACCAAATATTTGCCTGGCTCTGTACTTTCTGAAATGGATAATTATGTATTTGACCCAACCCCGATGCGAAGCTGAGATACTTAAAAAAGCTTCAAAGATGGCCACCAAATTCCTAAATATTCTAGAATATTAACGTTGGCATATTTCTGCTTTCGGTTTGGTAAATCAGTTGAAATTTACATTAATTTTTTTTTATTTTCAGCTACCAAATGCTATGAATTTTTAACATTATTGCATTTTTTCTACTTTTCATCGTCGTATTTAAATGAAAAAAAGAGAGAAACAATCGCTTTAGGTGTCCTTGCTTAAAATGTCTTGCTTTATAGGCTTCTTTATTATCAAACCGAATAAAATTCATGATTTCGTAAAGGAAAGTTATCTTGAAAATATTTGTCTGCAAATTTGTTTTTTCATCAGCCATAAACATGCATTCGTAAACTCCAGACATTATTTTTGGATTAAATTTGTAGTCCATGTTTAACTTATGACTGTAGCATGGTTTTTTTAAAGAATAATATCCCTTTATACTTATAAACTTAAAGAATTTTCGGATAAAATCAAACCCTAAAAACCATTGAGGGACTCATGTGAAACTTAACACATCTTTGGAGATCATTATTGTAGGTCACTTCACTGTAACAAGATTATTTTTCAATGAAAGATAACACTTTGTGAAGTAAGGAAGTAAGAGAAGTCCTTTATTATGCAAGTTTTTGATTTTAAATATTCAAGCGTGCTGTCCAACTTGAAGCTCTTGTTTTAAGGCAATGCCTTAAATGCTTTGGCGTCTTATCACAGATTTGCAAAGAATATTACATCTGGGCATATCAATGATATTAACATTAAAGCTGAAATGTTACTTTGGAAAACATTGAAACGGGCAGGGAATGCAGTTTACAGTAAGGGAATCGCTTGCAAGATCTGACCTGAATTATGAATGAAAATGGTATGGTGAGTGAAATAAAAATATAAGATTTTTATGATTTTGAGTAAATTCTTAAATCATTTTGCAACTTCTTTGTTTTGAATCACAGGTAATTTTTCTGCTGTCTCTAGCTAAGTTATCAAACGTTTTATTAAAGAGATTTACTCATTTCTTCGTTTTGAATTTTTCATTCATTGTTCTGTAAATGTCCTCAAAATGAATACACTAGGCAGTCACAGGAAAGAAACTTTGCTCCTTATAAGTTTCCAGTGAACTCTGGAAATGTTAAAGAACATAACTATGAATGACTTAGACTTGTTTCAATGATACAATATCCAAAATATCCGTTACTTGAACTTCCAGGATTTGTTCAAATCACATGATTTGTTTCAAAACCTCTCTTTGATTTTACCTGCGTCTAAATTTTGTTCAACATATATAGAATATATTTACGCTTCGAACCTAAAATATATAGAATTTATACATAAATTCAAGCTGGGACTTTAAAAAAGACATTTTAGCGTGATTTGAGAACATAAGATAAAATATATATTTTTGACGTATCCCTCTGAAAGAGGCTTTGACCTTATTGTGCAAGGCATACAGCCATATGCTTGGTGTTCAACCTTTTTACAGTTTCATCTAACGTACCTTATGAACAAGTTCCCTTTTGGACTGAATTGTTCAAATTTTGTCATCTCGTCTTCTGTCTTGCTTCATCGGCCCTTGTAGAGGATTTTCCTGTTGCTTTGCTTTCCTTTAAGGTATCGAGCAAATTTGTTATGGTCATTGGGCTGTATCTTTTTGTATATATTTACATGATCATCAATGCGTTTTATATTTTCGTTTTATGTTACCATAACAATAATTAAAATTTTTAAACTAGACAGCGTTTCATTTCATTTACACTTCTCACCCAACAGGAACATATTGGGAATAAGAGTGAGGTTTGGCGCCTAAAACTTTTAAAAACTCCCCCATAGTGTTATTACTACTGACTATTCCATGTTTCACATGTATGTAAATTGTAATGTTACATTATTATTATGTTTACACGTTCTATGATGTCCTATCTTACTAAATTACTGTAAGCTGTGTTACTAAGTATTTCCTTTTCATTGTGCCTTATGTCCCATTTTTTGCCCTCTACCCCCCTTTCCTTACACCCAAACCTTGTTACTTTAATTCACGTATCGACCGTTTAAATTCTTGTCATATCCCTTTTCTGCATAACTTCATCCTTTTGCCGCCCTTGTGTCCTCTCCCATTTCTGGATTGGTGCCTTCTGAGTACGGCTGTCCTGAGTACATTGCTGGTGTGGCTGGGTTGTGTCGAAGGTTGCGTTCTGTGCATGTCGCCTTGCATTGTTGATCTTCGTTCTTATTTTTCTTGGAAGGAATTATGAAGAGTTTATAATTAAAACACAATGATAGTTATTCTCGGTGATAAGTTGTGTGAATGGTTACTTGAACGTTCCAGTACCGACCATGAACTGGTTCAATTTAACCGAGCCGGTGGACTTAATAACGCATGTTTCATTGTCCTAAACTTCCCGTTAGTTCAACACAAAATTAGCTCATAGAGCTCAATTAAAAACAAATCACTCCTATTATTTTTTCAAATGTTGTCAATATCTGGATAAAGTGTGATCCCTTGAAATCATTTATAAACAACATACTTACATAAAATTTGCAAACTGCGCAGAACATTTTGAAGGCTCATTTTGACAAAGGATTTTCATGGACTGTAGTGGAACCTGCAAGCTACTGCCAATGCCAACCACCTACCACCGACTTAATTATATTATGACAAACATATTGTGGTAATTTTATGAATGAAGTGAAGAAACCTCTACAGATATATTCATACAACGTGATCATGGAGCATTCAATGTGAAATGATCGTGCCAATGGGAAAAAGGGTAAAAAGACAATTTTAAGAAGGGTAGGCTTAGCGTAAGGGCTTCAGCGTAGACTACCCGTTTTTTGTTTTTTTTGATCGCAGACCAAGAAATACAATGCTGACACTCAATCCCTGGCACAGCGCTTCACGACAAACCTAACAAATGGTAGTCTCAAAACAGCTTAAAACAAGCGAAGTAAAAGAAAGCAATATTTTTATTTTGTTACAAGTATCTAACAAATTACAATGCATTCAAAGTTTAAAAGTAGCATTGGCATATAGAATTGTCAATAATTGCAAAATTACAAATTACGCGGATGGATATCATTTTAATCAATGAAAATTGCTCGGGTATTTCTGTAAATCTTCGGATTATTATGATCGGAATTAAACGCCCCTTAATGAACATTTGGAATTTAGACTTTCTGAAAAATAAAGTAAGGATGTTATGTTGACTCTAGGACAGGGACAATTTTAGGGCATTTTACGATCGATAATCAATATCTACAAACGATTATATAATCCACGTAAACAAAATGCTATTTTTAGCGATATCGATTACCGAAGATTTCGGAGCGTATTACACAAATAAATCTGACTGTCGAGTAGTGGAATATATACATGTCGGACTGTTTTGGCGAGAAGATTTTCGGTAAATTATTTATATCAGTGTTAAACAACAGGTTTATCGTAAACAAAATACCTCGAAATTAATAAGGATTACAAATCCTCAATGGAAATTCTAAATTTAGAATAATTTGATTTTATTCAGGCTTTTTTACGCATAACTTCCCATTGTGCAGGGGTAACGCGCTCGTGTTCGGTATAAGAGGTCTAGGACTCAAATCCCAGTCGAGGCAACTATTTTTCTTATTTACTTTTATTTTTATTTGTAAGTGTCTTTTTTAGGAAAAGTTAGGTGTGTCTGTCATAAAGAAAATGAACATAAATGATTTTTGATGCAAGTCTAGTCATGCAAAGTTCCGTATTTATCAAACTCAAACTGTTATAGTAAAAATCTAAACGCAGTCGCTGCATCTCGGTGTCCTGCAAGTTAAACTATAGTATATAAAAATAAACTTCTACAGACGAGAACATACAGATCTTTCGTACGATTTAGATTGCAAAGATCAGAAAATACCACAGAGCTTGCAGCCCTTTTGATTATACTGTGACAGGACGTGTGTACACGTTGAAGACAACGCCACCAATAAACATGGCAGGAATTTGGCACGTATTCATTTCTGAAGAACTCAATTGAGTAAAGTGAAACATATGCTGATACGACATATATAACACTCATTTCGAAAATAAACTACCTTAAGAAGGGTAGGCTTAGCGTAAGGGCTTCAGCGTAGACTACCCGTTTTTTGTTTTTTTTTGATCGCAGATCAAGAAATACAATGCTGACACTCAATCCCTGGCACAGCGCTTCACGACAAACCTAACAAATGGTAGTCTCAAAACAGCTTAAAACTAGCGAAGTAAAAGAAAGCAATATTTTTATTTTGTTACAAGTATCTAACAAATTACAATGCATTCAAAGTTTAAAAGTAGCATTGGCATATAGAATTGTCAATAATTGCAAAATTACAAATTACGCGGATGGATATCATTTTAATCAATGAAAATTGCTCGGGTATTTCTGTAAATCTTCGGATTATTATGATCGGAATTAAACGCCCCTTAATGAACATTTGGAATTTAGACTTTCTGAAAAATAAAGTCAGGATGTTATGTTGATTCTAGGACAGGGACAAATTTAGGGCATTTTACGATCGATAATCAATATCTACAAACGATTATATAATCCACGTAAACAAAATGCTATTTTTAGCGATATCGATTACCGAAGATTTCGGAGCGTATTACACAAATAAATCTGACTGTCGAGTAGTGGAATATATACATGTCGGACTGTTTTGGCGAGAAGATTTTCGGTACATTATTTATATCAGTGTTAAACAACAGGTTTATCGTAAACAAAATACCTCGAAATTAATAAGGATTACAAATCCTCAATGGAAATTCTAAATTTAGAATAATTTGATTTTATTCAGGCTTTTTTTTACGCATAACTTCCCATTGTGCAGGGGTAACGCGCTCGTGTACGGTATAAGAGGTCTAGGACTCAAATCCCAGTCGAGGCAACCATTTTTCTTATTTACTTTTATTTTTATTTGTAAGTGTCTTTTTTTAGGAAAAGTTAAGTGTGTCTGTCATAAAGAAAATGAACATAAATGATTTTTGATGCAAAGTTCCGTATTTATCAAACTCAAACTGTTATAGTAAACATCTAAACGCAGTCGCTGCATCTCGGTGTCCTGCAAGTTAAACTTTAGTATATAGAAATAAACTTATAAAGAAGAGAACATACAGATTTTTCGTACGATTTAGATTGCAAAGATCAGAAAATACCACAGAGCTTGCAGCCCTTTTGATAATACTGTGACAGGACGTGTGTACACGTTGAAGACAACGCCACCAATAAACATGGCAGGAATTTGGCACGTATTCATTTCTGAAGAACTCAATTGAGTAAAGTGAAACATATGCTGATACGACATATATAACACTCATTTCGAACATAAACTACCTTATAATTTCCTTTTCAGTAAAAATATTCACCATTTCGCCGCCATCTGGCCAAATATTTTGATAATGTGACTTCATGAGTACGAGGATGTTTCTAAATTCAAAATGTTACCATTTCATGTTTAAATGATGAGTTCTGCTTTAAAAGTTTGTGCTAGGGGCCGTGGACGGTAGTTTGCATTTGACAGTAATGTCCATGAACAGGCTCAACCGAACCGAGCCTCCAACATTTCCAAAATTAAAAAAGGTGATTTGCTGACTTGTTTTCTACTATCTTATACTGTAAAATAAAAAAAGTATATAAACGTATGAAATCTGGTGTATTGAAATCATGTGCCAACAAAGATGTTCTAAATATAGTACATGCCAGTACTCTAAGTGGTTCCGATCGCGAATTACGTCATACGATGTATCGCGTAAGTGTCATGGTCGACATCAACCGGTTTAATTGATGTTTCGCAGTATGATAGGCAATTTTATTGACAGTATTAATATTTCAATAATCAAGATAGTCTAGAACGATGTCGAAATGATATTTTTATCGGATAATGCTCGAAAAATAATTAGGAAATGTAAGGTGATTCCGCTTTGTCAGCCATGTTTGTTTTAACAAAGTCTGTCCAAAGTGAATTAGGCAAAAATTCATTTAATAACAAAGCTCACAATGTAAAATGATGAGCCATTTGCATGTACACGTCCAGTTCTATGTTTTAAGGACTTTTTAAACAAAAATAAAAATGATAACAATAAGAAAATTTACCTTGAATGTGCTAAATTTCTGAAGACCAAGTACAATCTGTTGTAAATTTTATGCACATTTTATGAGGGCAAAATTCAGTTTAAAGTCAGTTCTAGTGCAGACAAATGCTATTTTTTTTGCAGAAAACACAAACAACTTGCAAAAACTTAAATCTTAGGAAAGTAGTTTATCTGACCTTGAAAAAACATGGCCTCTAATCCATGTGAAAAAAGTAGTACCATGGAAATAAACATTATTTACCTATTTCTTGTGTATATGACAAACAGACACACTTCGCTGTTACACTATAAAGGTTTAGATTTTAAAGTCTGATTGCGTTTTCAATTTAATTGTAGTTCATAAGGCTATAAATGGTGATTGTCTTCTTGCACTTATTCTTTACAGAAAATAATGGAGGCCATGTGCTTAGAAGGACATGAAATACTGATTTATTTGGAATTAAGTTTTGAAACATTTTTGTATTTTCTGCAAAAAATTGTTTGTTGGCACTAAAGCAGACTTTAAAATGGATTTTGCCATTCATGAAATGTGTATAAAACTTTGCAACATAATGTTCTTGGTCTTCAGAAATGTAGCACTTTCAAGGTAAATATTCTTATTGATATCATTTTTATTTTGGTTGATAATTGTCCTTAAAACATAAACCTGGAAGTGTACTTTCAAATGGTTCATCATTTTACATCGTGAGCTTTGTTATTATATGAATTTGGGCCTACTTTGACTTTGGACAGACTTAGTGAAAACAAACATGGCTGACAATGTGGAATCACCTTAAACAGTATGAATTCTGGAGCCTCACTACTAGAAATAAGATCAAATAGAAGAAATCGTAAATACCGCAAACACAACAATCATGTCAAGCTGAATGATGTTCATTCATAAGTTGTTTTTTTTTCGACTACTATGCAACTATGTTTTATGCAACTGTAGGTCATCGGAGAAATTATACATGCAGATTCAAATAAATGTTTTGTCGATTAACTTAACTTTATCAAAGAAATTACATTTGAATTGACGTAGAAATGGTGTCTTACCTATTGATAGATAGAAAATAATTTTTGCATACTGCTCAAATCCGTAGGTGACCTTACCTGTTTAATTGGTAAAACATATTTAATAGAATATTAAATCTAACATAATACCTCTAATGGTATCACTCTTTCGAGATCAAATTATGTCACGTAAATACTGTCATTTCATATAATCAGTCGACTTTATACGCATATTCTACGAAATAGTGGGTAAGGTACGATTAGACCAGAAATTCATTAAACAACCAGAAACAAGTTATCTATTCATTAACTGTTATATGGACTGCATCCAAGAAAATATGATTTGACAGAAACACAATACAAAGAAAAGTAATTGGTAAAGCTAATAAGTACTATTTGCAACCTTAAATGTTTAATCATTTTTACTGTAGCGCATCTCACTATATTTGTCTTACTGCTTAATTAAAAATATAGATTTTTTTCAGATATGATATCAATACATCAATGCATTTCTCTCATGAATACAAACAATTGCGGTAAACAAAATAAGTAATTAATATTTCCCTTTTGTATAAAACGCTATAAATGAAATCTCGCATGGAAAATTTTATTTGAAATACACAAAAAATATAAAAATAAAGATATAAAGAAATATAAGCCAACATTTAGTTTTTGATTATTTAAATATTTTGCGGCATCTTTGACGCCATCAAAAATTTTGCATCGGACTTGAGCCAAATCAATACAGACGAACAATTTGGTATGTAAACCTTGCTGTTGGCTGATCACTTTGATGTCATTTTACCCTATTTCAACACTAATTAGTGTACAACTAACGTTTCTGGTGCATTATGGGCCTTTAAAGGTAATTCGATTGTAATTATGATCATAATTTAAGTCGTTTCAAATAAACAGTAACGTATGCCCGTCTTGCTGAAAAAAAAATGAAATCAAACCCTTCAACTTCAGAACAATAATTATCATGATAATTATTATTACAAATACTGGTGACCAACAATGATATATTTCAGATTCAAAATGAGATAAAAGTCATCATGATCGGTAAATCCGGTAATGGTAAAAGTTCAACAGGCAATACCCTGCTCGGTTACAAAGACTTCACTGTCGCGAGGAGTCTAAATGCCGTCACAGAACAATGTCACATGGAAACGCGGTTTTTAAGGAATGGGCAAAGAATTAAAGTCGTGGATACTCCAGGACTTTTTGACGCAGGTAACACTTTGGGAGGAAGAGCTCTTGAAATCCTGAAAGCAGTCGAAAAATGTCCAAATCCAAATGCATTCTTATTAGTATTAAATCCAAGTCGGTTTACAGAGGAAGAACTCTGTACAGTTGAAGTTATACGCATCATATTTGGAAAAGAGATTTTTGAGCATATGTGTATAGTCTTTACACATGGAAGCGAGTTTCAAGATCGCGAAGAGTTCAGAAAATTTTGGGAAGAAAGTGAATATGTAAGAGATTTGGTCAAAAGATGCAATGGCCGCGTTTTCAAAATAGAGAATAAGAATCAGAATCGATATGAGGATGAAGACTTTCTAAATCTCATCGATACAATTCAATCTTGCCCCGAGTACAAGTACAGATACCTTGGTGAACACCAGGCAGCACTTAAAGAACATCAGGATAAGTACACATCAGAGAATAAGGACATTAAAAGTCAAATTGAAGACTTGGATGTCAGGCTAAGTAGACGAATAGATCCAAAAATTTGGAAGGAAAGACTTATTACTGGAGTAGCCATAGTAGGATCAGTAGCAGCAACTGGAGTTGCTGTCTTTGTGGCACCAAAAGCTGTTGCAAAAACAGCTCTTGGGCTAGGGTGTGGGTTTGTTGGTTATAGCATGAATAAATTGTCAAAGTAGAACAAGAAAAGTTGTAATTTCAAGTTAAAGTTATTACAATAAATAAGTTTGTGATAGTTGAATAAATTGATAAACATTAGTTTTGTTTCTTTGTGGAAGTCTTGAGTCTTCTTCCTAAAAGTAATCAGAAAGTGTGTCATCTAACTAAAGGAAACATGACTATCATCCCAGTAAAGTTCTCACAAAAAATCCCACTGAATAAAGAAAACTTTTTAGCAACAAGAAGACCGCTGATCTCCATGTCCTTCCATTTATTTTGTTTTATATTAAGTGAAGTTTTAACATCATCACATTTTATCTATATGGTATTTGCAAATAGGCTTAAGATGCTTGCTTCTTCAATAATTGTATTTAACATTAAATCTTTGAAATAAAAAATAACGTAGAAACTTAAGAGGCATATTGGTCGAGCTAAAGGATAATATTAAAACAACCCGTGTTCTTCGGAAACTAAATTCATACATCAGCCTGGTTTAATAACTTTTCCTGTTATATTTTTAGAGAAAAATCAGCATTTAGTGTTTAAAAAGGAGATGTTTAAGTAGCATATATTTTTCAAATTTTCCTTATAAAATGGTAAATGGCTTTATCCAACATTGAACAAGTCCATTTTGGTGTTTTATTTTGGTAGCGTTACTTTATTACACTGTAATATAACCAGTCCGTTTTTTCCTTATTATTATCGTTTTAAGTGTCGAACTTTATTATCAGGTTATAAAATAGATGCATTTTCACTAAAGATGTTTTACCGGTGTGTGTTTTTTGGAGCTGATTTTTTATCGAATTGATCATAAACCGATTTAACTATGGTGGCTTATTGATGGCACTTAGTAGTTTTGCATTTTCGTCTTGAAAATGCATATGACAATATAAAGTTGATGCAATCAAAGAAGAAAAACTACACTAAGCTAAAATTAGATTTAAAGTAGCAGTATCCACGTCACACAACATAACTCACCTACTATTAATTATTCTTTTTTTTTACCATTGTATTATATATCATTCACTTCTGACTTTTTTGACAATTTGTTTTTGAAAACAAATACAAAATTTTGTTTATATGTTTAAATTTATGGTTTGGTAAGTTGTTTATTTGTTATTTGTTTAACCATACCGTAATGTACAATGTAGGCTGAGTATAGCTAGCATCATGTTTTTCCATCTGAATTGATGATAAAGATTCTAACTTTCATTCAAGTTTTGTATGTGTGCAAACAGCTGTCTGATAATTCATGTCAATGTATCGGCCTGTTTTGTCATAATTCGATAATGGAATTTATATAACTATTTTTCATTATCTCATTTTAATAATTGGCATCATATACTTTTTTCTGTCTTTTTAGCACTTCCCGTCATGCTTTGGTAATGGGCTTTGCCAAATGCACTCCCCCAATGCTCAGTGTGTAATATCATTTATGCGGTCACCAGCGGTCAGTGAGGAATGATTGCTCGTGAAAAAGATAAAATATAAAGGTGCCATACTGAGTAATTGGATGTCATGTTCTTAATGTAAATTACAAAAGATACACTCGTGTTTCCACAATCGTATCATTATTTTTAAGTTTAATTTCACTTACAACATTTGAAATAATTATTATGTTATATTGCACCATATTGTTATAATTACCTTACTTTGCATTATATTGATTTAAAGAAGCATTTCGTTTAAAAAGACCTTTCATTAACTTTCATTTTTACCAGAAGTAAAGGCTCTAAATGATTGTATTCTTTTATTTTAGAGTAGATTGAACTTATTAATAGACAATGATATTATACTCAGTTAGCCTGGCCAAAATACAAATTGTTCAACTTTTACTTTGTCTTTCCTAGAAACTTAGAATCTTAAAAGTAGTTGAAATATAAAATTTGTTTAGTTTAATATTAGTTTCTAATGTACATATTGTTAAACTCTACTATTTTTATAGTCAATGTTAATAATTTTCCATGTTTAGAATAGTTTATGTAAAGAAATGATAAGCCTAAAGCATTTGTAAAGTAAACTCTGGTTGGCTGTTTGCAGACGAATCCGATAAGTTTTTACAAACAGTGTCACCTGTATGTAGATGTTAGCTCCCTTTGGGACTCGGAAGTTCATTTAACCAGGCATCTCTTGGAGTTTTGATATTCTGCTGCTAATTTTTGGTAAAGTAACATCTGTTAAAGCTCTCTAAGGTTAATAAATTATTTTTATGGCACTTTGGCATTAAAGTAAACCTTAGAAATAATCTAAATTTTATAAATTTGTAAGTAATTTTAGTAATATCTTTTTACAAAAGTAATTAAGATTAATGAATATCTTTTCTTTGTTCAAAATGGTAGCCATCTTGAATGAAAAAAAACTATTTCTTTGTTGATATAGACTAAAAAAGAGCTTGCTACTATTTAGATTTATTAGTTTAATAGCACATAATCATTAAGGTTATTTTTCATATTTTTCGTAATTACATTTATCTTTCATCTGGTTTAAATCTTTAGTTCACTTGTTTATTTTGATTATCATAGTTTTGGTTTTATAAGAACAGTTTATATTATGGTACATATTGTCAACTTGTTTGGTTTTAAGTAACTTTTAGTTAAGTGTAAATAAAAACCTACGTCATTAAAAGTTTGGTTGATTTAAACTTATTCAATATTTGTGGTTTATTTCTTTTACTCCCCTTTGCGTTCAAAGGGTGGTGTCATCCTGACAATCAGATTTTCCCTTCATCTTAAAAATCATTTCAACAACTATTCCTGAGCAAACTAAAAACAGACAAAAGTAACTAACTTCATTCTATTTATAGAAACAAGCTTATTATCATCAATACAAAGCGTATAATTTTGAGCGGTATTGCGCCCACGCTTTAAACTCCTTATTTAGCAAAAACTTACGAACTGAAATGATCAGTATAAAAAATTAGGTCTGATAAGAAACTTTTATTATCCTTTTAAAATAATTTCACAAGTGTTTGTAAATTTAAGATAAAAGTGCAATAAGATCCGGGTTTATTTTGGTAAAGACGCTTAAATATTTCCGGTGCAATTTTTCATAATTAGTCAGGAACAGGACAGATATAATCGTATGAAAACGTGAAACTTGTTTTGTCTCACGAATCGTACTTTGTTCATGATTTGATTTTAACAAAGAAACAAACAGTCCTATATCATTTATTAATTTCTGATTAACAGAAGAATTTATTGTCTCTGTCATAAAATTTCTGACACTGTTATTTATCACTCTCAAGACATTACTGACAGCGTTTTCTTTTTATCTCTGTCATCAGTTGGAAAATTCTTACTTTCCTAACATGTATAACAGAAAAGACTCAAAAATCAATTCCAACAAACTGGCCTATCATCCCTTAATTGGCGGTCATCAGCCTGTGATCGCTGATCGCTCTTGTTGAAATTTGTTTACTCATCTGTGGGCATACCGCTTAAATAATTTATCTTATAAATCAGTATTTATGAAGTTACATCCGGGAATTGTTAAATTCCCCTGCACGTTGTGTTTAGTTGTCATTTGCACATTAACTTGAACAGGACTGCATACGGTAACATCAAAAAGACACGTAAGTACATTGTTTTTGTTCATATTTATATTCTCGGTGATACATATATAATTATTTATTTTTGTTATTTTTATTAGATAGTAGATGTTTTTAAGAATGACGGAGACTTTTGCTTTAAATGTTATATTATTCAAGATACTGTATGCAAAATAGTATCAACATGAATCAGAACATGTGCAACATTCTTTTTTCTTAAAATATTAGAAATAATTGAAACAAATCATTGAAAAACTACATACAAAACAAAATCGTCCTGTCAAGTTGTGTGTGTATTTTAGATCATTTGAGCCGTGTCATGACAAAACCAACATAATGGGTTTGCGACAAGTATGGATCCTGACCAGCCTGCGCATCCGCGCAGTCTGATCAGGATCCATGCTGTTCGCTTACTTACCCTATAGCAAGAAGAGAAACTGATAGCGAACAGCATGTATCCTGATTAGACTGCCCGGATGCGCATGCTGGTCTGGATCCATGCTGGTCGCAAACCCATTATGTTGGTTTTATCATGACGCGGCTCATTTATACTCGCGACCGGTGGCCCATATAGGCTTGTCCTCAAGAAGCGTATGAGTCATTTCAGATTTTTTTTTGGAGGATAGTGCAAAAAACAGATACAGAAAGATGCCCTAATTCCAGAAGCTTCTCCTAGTTCTTTAGCGTACCAAATATTTAAGCACTGATACACGGTTCCTCGATACATTCGAAAGACTGATTAGTAATTTTAGTTGACCAGTCCGGGAATCGAACCTATAATATCGAGGTTACAAGCATCGCGCTTTAACCGATTGAGCTATGTGGGCTGGCAGTACAGTACAGTTTCCTGTCCATTATCTATGCTACTGGCATTTATAGCATATATCATTCTGATACTTTGTCAACAAGAAACAAATGCAGTTTATAAGTCTGTTAAAATCATGATGATTTCAACTCAAAATAAAAATGTTCAAAGTCGTTACTATATTATCATTAGTATCACTATCAAAGTATCAGTATATTAGTTGTCGTCATCATCCCCGTCGTCGTCATCATCGCCGTTGTCGTCATCATGATCGTCATCGACGTATGCTGTTGCTAGCAAAGATGTAAATGACGTTAATACTGATGTTTATGATGGTTAACAAGCTACACATACCATTGCTGCTGATGATGATGTTGATGGTGATAATTGCCGGCAAATAATGTGTTCAAGCAGTGTTGATCACATAAACCAATGCGCAGGAGTATATTTAAGTCATTTGTTAAAGCGCGCTAATGTTGGCGTTACGCTTAAGGCTGGTCATTGAAAAATGTCCATTTTTAACTGCAAACCGTCTTATTTTGGATATGTGATAAAACATGTTATTTTCGTATAGATTCAATATTAAATGCATTCAACTTGTTGAGTAAAACAATATTATGCTCGCCAGAGGGCTCAGATAATATGATTTCATTCAACCCGTTCAATAAACTAAGATTTAAATCGACAATCATTCAATATCTCCTATTTTTATAATCAAATTATCTTCCATCCACCAAAATGTGTAATAAGTGATGTTATGCAGCTCAACGGGGAAAATTCTTTACATGTTGTATGGTTTTACCGCCGGAAAAAAATATTTACCTTAAGTTAGCTTTATGCGGCGTCACTGTGCACACCTTTGTGTCAAAATCCTGATAGTACAAACGTTGATCTAACTCGCCAATTCGAAATTAACAATTGCTTATTAGGAATCTTAAGATAAATTACGAAAATTGCGGCACGTTATTTTATGTTGATAAATGACAAACTGGCCTTATTTAAAAATTAGCATGAAAAATCCTTTAGATTAAATGTATAACATCTATTTCAGGAGCATGGGTTTTATTATTCTTCTCTTGACAATACTGGTGCCATTTTGTCTGGCCGGTGAATCTTGTTCAAAAGGTATTGTTACGTCTTTTTCTAGAATTTGTAATACTATGTTGAGCGCTGAATTGCAACAAAAGCCGAGTGGTTTTTGTGTCAATTTGGCAACTTTCTAGACCGACTGAATTACTGATTTTGGCTAACTTATTGTCGAAAAGATACAACGTATTTTAGTATTGTGTGATGTAGAAAAGGAACCAAATCCCACAAACATAAAATCTAGTTATCCCATATTCTTTTTTAGAGATCTTTATAGAGTATAGAATTATTTGTGGTCAAAATTCTGCTGATGTAAATGAATATTTTCAACAAGCAAAAATTGTGAAAATAATTAAATGCATAAGAATATTGCACGGTGTAGGCCCCAATTCACTCTTGCTTTCTAAAAAATGTTTTAGACCTTTGAACTTTGTTTGAAATTCATCTTAATTATATTCAAGAAACTTCCAAATTGAAAACCAAATGTATTCTAAGAAAAGATAATTCTTATACAATGCACTGAATTGCTAAAACAATAAAATATCATTTAAGCATAATTGATCCATTTTTGTTTGACGAATTATTCCATTCCTTTAATAACGCGCCTCCCAGAAATGTTAACTGAATTATTAGTTTAAGAAAAGTTGTAAATAACAAGTTTGGTAAGTATATCCAGTATATGTTTAGCAAACTGTGGAAAAAGTTAATTTGGTCTCACACGTGTTTTTGTCTTAATTATTTATAGAATCATGTGACTGTGGAATAGATGGCAAGTAAAAGAATGAACTTGGATCTACAATGACCCTGTCCTACAAGGATGGCCAGCTTGAGGGTATATACAACACAGCCGTCGGACAAGCCGAAAACGACTATATTTTATCCGGCAGATACACACTTTCTGGACCCAAGAATGACGTGGTAGAACTTGGCTGGGTTGTCTCCTGGAATAACAAGAAATTTGGAAACTCCCATTCAGCGACAGCATGGTCAGGAATATATTATCCGGAAGATGGAATTATCCGAACACAGTGGATGTTGGTACGCTACGCAGAGAGTAAAGACTACTGGAGTACAACTCAAATTAATCATGACGAATTCATACGAGTTAAATAATGTAATATTGTTGACTAGAATTTTGTTTCTGTAGATCATGCTTACGAACAAATTTACTCAAGGTTTTTTTTTTTATATAGAATACACTGACGCACGAATTCACTTATTTTTTTATATTTGTAGAACACACTTTTAACAAATTGACTAGAATGTTTGTAGAACACGCTCAAGAACACATTTACCAGAACCTATGTCTTTTTAAAATACGCTAACGGTCAAATTAAATCATTTTTTTCATATTTGTAGAACACACGAACAAATTTAGAAGATGTTTTTAGAACACGCTTTTAAACTAATTAAATATCACCTATTTATAAAATGCTAACGAACAAATTTGCTAGAATATTTTTTGTATAGCACGCTTAAATAGATTTTTTATATAATTTCTTTTTGTAGAAAGCACATAATTATAGCATTCTGTTTTGTTTTTATTTTTTGTATAACACGCTTACAATCATACAAATTTACTAGAATTTTCTTTTTGTAGAATGGTTTACGTTCAATTTTACTATATTTTGTTTTATGCGTCGTGGAATTCGCTGACATTCAAATTTAATAGAAGTTTTGTTTTCTAGAACATGCTTATGTACAAAAGTACTTGTTTTGTCATGAATAAAGATCGTAAGGAATATGGTTCATTGATATTTAAAAAAAAAAGAAAACTTAAAAATACCCTCTGTCTGTTTATATGAATTTCCAACAGTCATTATTCAACAAAAGTGTTTAAGCACTAAAAAAACAACAAAAAACAAAAACAACCAAAAAACTTAAGCTTCAATTATTGAAACATGAAATGAAATTATTTACTTGGAATCAGTTAAAGGATTTTTTATGAGTAAATAGCGTAACGACTCATCCCATTGAAAATTTGAATCATTTTGAATTCAATAGCACTTGCCCCTCATCGATGTGGGTTCGAATCCCGGCACGAACATTGAATTCTCTCATCTATGGAAGCTATCCAGGTAGGTTACGAATGCCAATGGCTCTACTCAGGTACCTGTTCGTGTCTGAAAGAATGCACGGAAGAGCACACGAAGTTTTCCTTCCCAAGTAAAGCTGGAACGTCGCTATATGACATGTACTGATGACATATACTGTGTTGGTGCGCCCGCAATAAAGCTGGAAAGTCGCAATGTGACTGTCGACATAAACTGTGTTAATGTGCCGTGTCACACCCCCCTGCGAATCCCACTCCAAAAGAAAAAAAATATAGATAGAAAAATAAATAAACGAACAAAAAACCCCCAAAAAACCCCAAAAACAAAACAAACAAAAGTCCCGTGGATTGACTACCTAAGTATATAGGACTTTCGAAAACAGTTAGTATTCAGAGCGGGCGCTAATGTGCAGAGGTAACACTGTCTGTCTACCAATCAAGGGGTCGTGAGTTCGATCCCCCTCTACTCCACTAAAAGAATGAAATGATTACGAGACTGATAGTACTTTAGACACTAAAAGAATATAATATACAAACATGGTTTTTAGGCCGACGGCAAAATATTTTTACATATTTATTTAATGCAACCTTGACACAATAGCAATTAACACATACAGACAGCAAAATAACAGAATCCAATACAGATTGAATTCTTTACGTCCTGCCGAGAAGAACATATACAACTACACATACAAGAATTCTAATGGAACAGCAGACTAACAAATGAAACACAAAAAGACACATACAAATAAAAACCTAATAAGAATAAGAACGGATCAACAATACATAAAGCTAAAAACTAGACCAAGATAATAACTAAAAACTTAAAATAAATTTGAATATTTGTACACAGAAGATGTTTTATGGATGGCACGAGAATTTTTACCGATACGCCTGTGAATATGAATAAAGTTTAATAAGCATATATCCCCGAAAATGGCTACTCTTCATAAATGTAAAAAATTCGTTTTATCAACTATGTTAACTGTATCTTACAATCTTTTCTATAAGTGATAATAATTAAAAACATGAACATAACTTAAGCTAAATTGTGTACATTGTATAACAACAAACTTAGTAAAGGATATCGACGACAAAAACTGCTGTTTTGTATTTCGTTTTTATTATGTGAACAATATTGACCTGGCACACTCTTGCTCTTCCTTATCCACTTTTAAGACCACCAATTTCAGTCTTTTCTTTATCTAACCCCACTATTGAGACCACGTATAATCCATCCATTACCTATGCAGTTCACAAGTTTGTTGAATACTCTAAAGCATGAAACCTGATGTTATAAGGTGTTAAAGATCCTGTATGTTGTAATTAAGATTGTAACCACACTTAAGTAAAATTTTATATATGTATATAATTATACTTCTAAAAAAAATTTCAAACATCAAAGACTATGTAAAATATGAACTGCAAATATTTGTCCACATTAATATATGTAATATTAAAAATAATGCTTTGGGATCTTCATTTGAGCATTATATGCAAGACAGTAAACCATAAAAATTGAGATACAGGATCTTTAAAACTGTAATGATTGACAAATTGTATAAAGTTAGGTGAGGAAATAACCACCAGGGTGGTTTAAAGTTACTTTCTGCACACACAAATATAATTACTTATTTAATAGATGAATTATTTACATGAAACAATATCTATGAAAATTTAATCTTTAATATTAAATTTCTTCAGACGTATGTTCTAATAAGGAACGAATATATAATATTTATGGTAGTATTATACTGATTAAAATATAGAGGTCACGAAATATATATAATGCATTGATCATAATATCAACAATTTAGACCACGCCGCTATTAAGACCACATTAGTCCAGTCCCTCTGGTGGTCTTAAAAGATGGTTTACACTGTATATAACCAGTTGTTAAATGGTCTTAATTACCGCAAATGTTTACATACTAAGGTCAGTGAAATTGTGAGTGTGAAATTCATTTACGAATGATATACTTCAGTGACACTTTGCATTATTTCAACATATGTGGTTAAAAAGTCATATCAATTTATTAATAAATGTAATAGTTACCATGCGGAACATGAAAAAACTACCAAGGTTTTACTACGAAATAATCTTAAGGTGCGCTAAAATAAATGTAACAAACTTAAAATGTTATTTTCTGTTTATTTCAACGAATTTGGTAAACAAGTCATACAAATTTATAAAAAGGAGTTATTTCCGGAACATGATTTCAGCGAAATGTAAAAACTACATATATCAAGGTTTTTACTACGAAATAATGTTAAGGTGCGGCTAAATGAGTCTAACACAGTTGTTACTTTCTGTTTAATACACATGAATACAGGACATTTGATTTCAAGTACGAAATTGGCTAAACATTTATTTATATAATTTTGTGTTAAAAGAGTTTTATCTTTAAGTTTTCCTTTGTAATCTTGAATCGACATATATATAGGTAAAGAAAAAGCCTGACACTAGGGGACATTTTTTGTGTGCATGAAACCAGTAATAAAAGCTTTTTTGGTAAGTTAATTTTATTTTTAGGGAAGCTATTTCAGTACAAACATTTATATGTATTATAATATGTATGAAGACAATGTATTTTGTAATCATATTTGTTTTCTTTTACGTGTAGTGGTAACTTTTTAAATGATATATTTTATACAGGTTTTAAACATTAACCAAAACTTATACACCATCTATGCATATTTTGGGAATTGTGTAAATACCTTTAAGAACATGTAATATACACGTGGGATTAATTCATTTTATTTCAAGTACACATGCAATTGTTTATTATCCAAAACATTTTACACTATTACTGCTTAGTATACCATGCCAACCTCGTAACTATAAATGAGCCGCGTCACGACAAAACCAACATAATGTGTTTGCGACCAGCATGGATCAAGACCAGCCTGCGCATCCGCGCAGTCTGATCAGGATCCAAACTGTTCGCTTACAAACTCTATTACATGTGGAGAAACTGATATCGAACAGCATTGATCATGATCAGACTGCTCGGATGCGCAGGCTGGTTTGGATCCATGCTGGTCGCAAACCCATTATGTTGGTTTTGTCGTGACGCGGCTCAAATCATTATTAAAGTTACTTTGTACTTTAAGATCTTGTAACTAAAGTTTTTATCATAAGTATGATGCTCAAATGATGATTTATCAATATTATAAGTTCTAAAAAGCATAATTTGCAAAGATATTACCGAATTTTCATTTCAAGTGAATAAAGTTAGGTAATTAAAAATTTATTTTCGATAAAGTCTGATAAGAATTAAATGCATACATTTTAATGAAATTGCGGCACTATATTTTATGTTGAAATATGACAAATTGGCCTTACTTAAAAGATCTGTGACAAAGCCTTTAACATCTATTTCAGGAGCATGGGTTTTATTATTCTTCTCTTGACAATATTGGTGCCATTTTGTCTGGCTGGTGAGTCTTGTTCAAATGGTAATGTTACGTCTTTTTCTAGAATTTGTATAACTATGTCAAGCGCTGAATTGCGACAATGGCCGAGTGGTTTTGTGTCAATTTGGCAACTTTCTAGACCGACTGAATTACTGATTTTGGCTAACTTATTGTCAAAGATACAACATATTTAAGTATTGTGTGGTGTAGAAAAGGAACCAAATCCCACAAACATGAAAGCTCGTTAGCCCATATTTTATTTTAGAGATCTTTATAAAGTAAAGAATTATTTGTGGTCAAAATTCTGCTGATGTAAATGAATATTTTCAACAAGACAAATTGTGAAAATAATTAAATGCATAGGAATATTGCCGTGTGTAGGTCCTAATTCACTCTTGCTCTCTAAAAAAATGTTTTAGACCTTTGAACTTTGTTTAAAATTCATCCTAATTATATTCAATGAAACTTCCAAATTGAAAACCAAATATTTTCAAAGAAAAGTGATTTCTAATTCAATGTACGGAATTTCTAAAACAATAAATTATCATTTAATCATAACTGATCCATTTTTTGACGAATTAATCCATTCCTTTAATAACGCGCCTCCCAGAAATGTTAACTGAATTATTAGTTTAAGAAAAGTTGTAAATAACAAGTTTGGTAAGTATATCCAGTACATGTATAGCAAACTGTGGAAAAAGTTAATTTGGTCTCACACGTGTTTTTGTCTTAATTATTTATAGAATCATGTGACTGTGGAATAGATGGCAAGTAAAAGAATGAACTTGGATCTACAATGACCTTGACCTGCAAGGATGGCCAGCTTGAGGGTATATACAACACAGCCGTTGGACAAGCCGAAAAGGACTATATTTTATCCGGCAGATACACACTTTCTGGACCCAAGAAAGACGTAGTAGAACTTGGATGGGTTGTCTCCTGGAATAACAAATATTTTGGAAACTCCAATTCAACGACGGCATGGTCGGGGATATATTATCCGGAAGACGGAATTATACGAACACAGTGGATGTTGGTACGCTACGCAGAGAGAAAAGACTACTGGAGTACAACTCAAATTAATCATGACGAAATCAAACGAGTTAAATAATGTAATATTGTTGACTAGAATTTTTGTTTTGTAAATCACGTTTACGAACAAATTTACTCAAAGTTTTTATATAAAGAACACACTGACGAACAATTTCACTTGATTTTAATATTTGAAGAACACATTTTTGCTAGAATATTTTTGTATAGCACGCTTAAATAGATTATTTTATAGAATTTCTTTTTGTAGAAAGCACATACGCATAAGTATACCTTATTGTTTTGTTTATATTTTTGTATAAAACGCTTACATTCATACAAATTTACTCAAATTTTCTTTTTTTGTAGTAATCGCTTACATACAATTGTTTCACATTTTTTTTTTATGTTTTGTAGAATTTGCTCACATTCAAATTTGATAGAAGTTTTTTCTTTGTAGAACAAAGTTATGTATAAATTTACTCTACTTGTATTGTCATACATAAAGAAAGTAAGGAAATTGGTATTTTGATATTTAAAAAAAAGAAGAAAACTTAAAAATACTACATGTATACAGATTTATATGCTGTATATATAAGAATTGCCAACAGTCATTATACAACAATAGAATTCATGCAAAAACAAAATCTTAAGCTACAATTATTAAAACATGAAAAAAAATTATTTATGTGGAATCAGTGAATTGATTTTTATTAATTAATAGGCTCACGACTCATCCAAATAAAAAATTGAAAAATTCTCAATTCAATACTACTTGCCCCTAACCGCTGTGGGTTTGAATCCCGACAGGAACATTGAATTCTCTCATCTATGGAAGATGTTCAGCTAGGTAACGTAATGCCGATGGTTCTCATCAGGTACCCGTTCGTGTCTGAAAGAATGCATGGCAGGGCACATAAAGTCTCCCTCCCAAAGTAAAAGCTGGGAAGTCACGATATGAGATATACTGATGATATATACTGTCTTAATGTGTCGTTCCCCACGGCCCCGGACCCCCACCAAAAAAAAAAAAAGAAAAAAAAGAAAAAGGAAAAACAAGCAAACAAACAACAAAAACAAACGAGGGACATATCTTAATAAGTGGTAATACCCGTCATAATCATATGTATCTTGATGGCATGTTTATATCTGAATGTTACAATTGCATTCTTATTCATAGAATTGCTTACTGTAACATGAATATTTCAAACTGAGTGTATACTCATTACACATTGCTGCTTATTTAACAGAATTTAAACATTGCAAATGCGAATAGATGATATTGCTTCATTTCACCTTTCTATAACTTCAACAAAATCATTATTTAAATTGCATGTGTGCTATTGCTAGATTGCGCATTGCTTCTCAATTAACAGTATTTTTGTAAATGTAATATATAGCTACGTGATGAAGAATTCTATTGGTATGACTACCGCCTAGTGATATTTTTCTAACATTATTATACTACTTCTTTTCTAAAAAAAAAACAATAAAAAACATCATATTTTCTCAAAATTAAGAACGCTTTAAAAACGCAACAAGTGGTTATTGAGAGTAACATGTAAGACGCAAGCACTTATATAAATGGAACATAAACGAATACAGTCAGTCATATTTAATACCATGTGTAGTTATGACGTGAATGAATAAGTTTTAAGTTTAGCAAGCCATGTTGAGTGAAATGTTGTCGCATGCTCGACAGGAAGGCGACAATGGGGGTGTCTAAGTTTGTTCATAATATTATGCATAAAATTTCAAAATAAACAATCTTTCTACCATATTATCTAATAATATTCAAACAATAAATCCAACGTTGTATATATACACAAAATATTCAAAGAATACAATCTTTCTATTACATTGAAATAAAAAAAAACTATTGGATAAGATTAATTGTAAAATGTGTCCGGTGAAAACAAATATTTGAGATAAGATAGTCATTTACTTAATTTTTCATAGAAGTGATCTGATGATGCTTCACTAAGGCTTGATTCAGTGACATTGATGTATACTGGATCTTGTTCATCTTGTTCTTGTGTCGTGGTAGATGTGATGTTTGACATTTCTGTTGACGCACTTGTGCCTTAGCGAATACAAAATAATAATAATAAATGAATAGACCTTCTATGTTTGTTGCATGTTTTGTTAATTTTCTATAAGCAGATTACAAATATAACCACAGATACAAGGTGCTTTATGATACGTCGAATGCCCATATAAATGACAATAATCGTGTATGTGAACTCACTTTAGCGTGTTTTTATTCAAACAAACGTTCAATAATGAGATTTTAAGAAAACTGTTTATTTACTACTAGGATTTCATTATAAAAAATAACATAATTCTAACACACACACGCATGCACGCAGCACACACGCACGTACATACGCATGCTCGCACGCACGAACACACGCGCGCGCACGCAAACGCACAAATTAAATTTTTTAAATGATTCGTAATGCCGATGGCTTTAATAATGTACTAAACAAAATATCATCATCTTACAAGTTTTACCTTTCGATTCTTTTTGCTCCTTTCGATATCTTCTTAGCCGCAATAATCTACAATAAAACAAACAAATAAACAACAAATAAAAGGTAGCAAGTTTTTATTATGCAGAGTATCATTAGCACTACACTTTTTTGTCTCTTATCTTGCTAAAACATGTTTAAAACCTCAACTTTATTGCCAATATTTATTTAACTTACAACAAACTGAATTATAAAATACACGCGTATATTTTCCATTCAGAATATTTTATTCCAGAAAATTCTGCCGTCATAATTTGTTTCACTGTAACAAATATATTTGTACATTTTATAACAATAAAGCATAATTACATATATTTTGCAGCAAGGAATATTGCAACGAAGACAACAATTGTAAAAATACAAACAACAAGAGACACTACTACTGTAATCCCATGTATCCCTTTTTGTGAAAGTTCACCAGCGTCTGAAAAATATTCCGAATATATTTCAAGAAAGATCAAGGAAGTTTTAAAATTAATATGATTGAGTTTAAAACAATCCTTTTCGTTACAAGTATACAAATAAATAAAATCTTAACATAAATATTGAAATGAGTAAATGTTTTGATATTATTGTTAAAAACTAATAAAAACGAATACCAGATATCACGTTTAATTGTTTATGAATTATTTCTTTCCAAATTCATGCGTTTCAAATAAAATATAAATATAATCTTACTTGTATTAGTTTGGCTGTTAAACTTTCAATGCCTAGTATCTTGTAAAAAGTTGTCATACTTACCACAAGGTATTGTAGTTACGAGGGTACATAAAATATTACGCGGACAACGATATTATTCCTGATTAATATTGTTTTGATATTTTGATATTATAGATTAAACAGGATTTAGCCTAGATATTAAATATTCATACAACACAAAAAGTTACAAGTTGTTGGGTTACTTGAAACAAACCACTGTTCACCACACAGAGCGCTCATATAACATGAAATGACGTCAACAATGTTAATCAATAAACATTTCTCGAAGTATGCACCGGCCTTCTCGATACACTTTTCCATTTTTCCATTTCTGTTCATTTTGTCTTAACCTTTCCGGAATCTCCCTTCAGTGTGTATCTGACGCCACTATAATGCTTTTGCCAAAAGTATAACACCATTCTACCATATTGGACTTTATACCAACATTGTACGTCTATACCATCTTCATGGTCCTCGCCGTTGATTTGTTCAGCTTTACGCAAAAATTGATATAGGAACATTGCGCCGTCAAACTGATTTTCGTCGTTTGTTACAGTTTTTATATTTGTGGAATATTTATACCCTTCTCAGACATGTTTAAGATTGAAATTTTGCCTGGACACACAATTGACGTTACGTAATATCTACATATCATTGTAGCGCAATTTCACTTAAAATATTTACGATGATAGAGATTTAAACGCAAACTTCAATTTTACGATTCAGAATTTGCAGTGTTGCGTCGTTAACACAGGAAATCAGTATTCTGACGCATCTGAACCGAATATGGTTCATCACAATATTGGCCAATAGAAGGAAATGCTAACTGATTGAATATGTAAATGTTTAAATAAAATATGCATGCGCCTGTGCTTTTTAAAGGCTCTTGTAGTACGACATTTTAAATATGTATGATACTTGTGATATCTGCGTAAAACATATGCCACAATGTAACGTAGGCAATTGAAATTAATTTCTTATTAAAGGTATACTTAAAATAATATATAAAGAAAATACCTGAAATAGACGGGCAAGAATATGAGCATGCTCCAGTACTAATGCTGCAACAGGGGCATCCATCCCTGCACATATTCTGACAAAGTAATCCCCATCGTCCCAAGGGACATCCACTACAATAGCCGGTATCTTTATTGCAATCAAGGCATTTATCAGATTTGCACGTAGACTTACAGTTGAGACCCCAAAAACCTGGTTGGCACACTGAACATAATCCATTCGTTAAAGAGCATTGTTCACACTTTGAGTCGTTACATTTATTGGAACAATCATGGCCCCAATATCTGTTTTCACATCTTAAGCAATAACCAGTATGTCTGTTACAACCCCATGAGCAAGATGTACTGCACACATTTTCACAAAAATTTCCCCATCTGTTGAAACCACATTCCATACACTCGCCGGACCCAATATAGCAGCCAACAGAACGACACGACCGATTACATTTGTTTTCACAAAATGATCCCCACAACCCAGGTTTGCAAGCATCGCACAACCCATTGACTTTACTACAACTTAAACAATTGTGATTGCATGTCTTGTTACATCTGTCTCCCCAATATGAGCTATTGCAGGGGCTGCAATATCCATTACTCATTCTACACTTTGAATGCAAACAACCTTGACCACACGACTCAGCACAAAGGTTGCCCCAAAGTCCATCCTTGCAGTAGCTACACATTCCATTATTTCTATCACAGCTTGAATAACAATCACTACAGGTTTCATTGCAAAAGGCACCCCAGAATCCACTTATGCAGCTATAACAGTGACCATTGTTTCTAATGCAGCCTATATCAGAACAACCTTTGCTGCACGTTTCATTACAAAATAAACCCCAGAGCCCAGGTATGCAATAACTACACTGTCCGTTTGATCTAATACAGCTTGATGGGGAACAGTTGTACATGCAGGTTTCGTTACAATTTGCTCCCCATAGTCCGGCCCTGCAAGAGCTACAACTACCGTTTGATCTAATACAGCTTGATGTGGAACAGTTGTACATGCAGGTTTCGTTACAATTAGCTCCCCATAGCCCGTCCTTGCAAGAGCTACAATTTCCGCTGCTTTTATCACAGCTGGATAAACAATTTTGATTGCATTTGTGTTTACAAGACGTTCCCCAGAATCCAGAATTACAACCATAACATATCTGATAATTCACATTACAAGAGTAAGAGCTGCAATTTCCAATATTACAAAGTATTGAGCAATTTTGTCCTGTAAATCCAAATTGACAGGAGGCACATCTTCCATCACTTTTACCACATTTACCTGATGTACAATTTCCACAATGTGTCTGACAGTTTTCTCCCCAAAGTCCAGATTTACACGCCTGACATTCTCCTGAAGAAATACTACAAACATGACAATTCGGGTCAGAACACTTATTTTCACAAGAAATGTTCCAATAACCGGGCTTACATATCCGACAATCACCTGTTAACTTGTCACATATTTTGCAATTCGGAACACATGTTTTCTCACAAGTTTCTCCCCATTCACCATCATTACATAAAGTGCATGCACCAGTCGTTTGATGACATTTCTGACATTTTATATAACACGTATTGTTGCACATCTTACCATACGAACCATTGGCACAGGGAGAACAACTACCATCTTGTTTGTTACATCGTGAAGAGCTACAATTTGCTGGACAATTTTTATGACAATGCGTATCCCAATAACCACTGTAACAACTAGAGCATGCTCCTGTGTTCTCATGACATGAGTATCTACAATTTGTCTCACATAATTCTTGGCAGTCACTTCCCCAGTAACCATATGGGCATGTTTTGACGACATTTTTGCCTTTTGTAGTAAAAAGTAAAAAATATTGCTTTGATATAAGAAAAGATCCATCTACCGCTTGTATTGTAAATAAATATTATCTGCATGAGGATTATATATAGTTTTACATTATTTATTTTTACCACATAGAACGATAAATTAAATTGCAATACAAAGAAACAAGTTTGTTTGCTTGTTTGAAAACCAAAAAAGAATACTAATAGGTAATTTACTTGTATCCAATTTTGATAAAATATTTTGAAAATATTATATGTATTAAAGGTACTTTCCCAAACAAAATGTATCTAAAAACGTCAACATATTTGTTTACAGTTATTATAAAACGGCAGTTTTCACGAGATAACTGTGATGAAACGGTTGTTATATTTCACTTGGCACATTGGCAAACAACCCTTTTATCATAATTATAGTGAACATGTTGCGAGTAGGACAGCTTGATGCAGGTAGAATTAACTACATGTATATAAATGTCAGTTTTACCGATATACATGTATATATTATTTTCTTTTTGGTCTGTTTTTAAAGACATAACTTTCTATGATATATTGTACAGCAAATCGATTGCAGGATAAAAGAAATACCAAGCACACAACTGTTCTACCTGAAACCAATTGATAATTTGCAACCACTTAATGGACGTGTGTAGATCTATAACACAAATATTTACAAAATAGAACGCTGCAAAGGTTTTAAATTACAATATTAAAAACATGGCAAAGTCTTTACTTTCATGTTTTTTTTTCTTCGGACAAGACATTATTAATCATCTAGCTCCAAATACATACACGAGCCTATGGTGACATTTAATATTTTGATGACATTTAATTTAGAAAAAAAAGAAAATCCAAACTACATAGTGTTGGATAGTAGGTATAAAGAATAAAATCAATTGCTTAACTGATTTTTTTACACCATTTACACTTAATATATTTCTAGCATATAAAATATTTACGTGCTTTAAATGATTGGTATGAATGACAAAATATTCAAATGAATGTTACATGAATCAAAATATATTTTTTGTTATCATAATCAAATAAATGACAGTACTATATTTAACAAATTTCATATGGAAACTAACTATTATATAAAAATTAACTGTTATCTTTACTTAAAGAAATTCAAATCTGAATGAGTCTGCTTTTTTCAAACATGTCACCCTATCCGATTATTAATAAGTTAAAATGTCTTTGACATAATGCATATATTCTGTTATCGTGTTTACGAAAACTTTTGGAGAAGACTTCAAGTTAATTCAGAATTTATAATTTCAGCTGGTCTACTTAAAAATAAATGTAAAAATATAATAATTAAAAGAATATATTAGGATTATCATAATTAAATCTGTGCACATCCCAATTTATGATGCAATTGATGTCGAGTATGTCAAAATCCCTTTATAACGTGTTTTAAATTCTTAACAAGACACATTAAACCAAAAAGAGTTGAAGTATTTGTATGTATAGATTAATTTTCATTCCAAAATATATACGTAAATGGGTAGGAAAATATTTACATATTAAACGGTAGAAAAATGTCCAATATCAATATTGAATCATTAGAGGAGAAAATCGTTTCTTTTACCTTTAAACATTCCCTTCTTAACTATAGAGAAACGCCATGAATATTGCCATCGGTTTATATTTTATTTCAATGTATTCCACTTTGAGTTTCTTTTGATAAAATCAATACCACGTGAAGCAGCATTTTATAAATTATTATAATTTATATGATTTCCATTTATTTATTCTTTTAAAACTCCGCATATTACAAACACTTATATTTTATATCATTTGCATTTACGTATTCACTTAAAACTCCGCTTATTAAAGATTATTATAATTTATATGATTTTCAGTTACTTATTCACTTAAAACTCCACTCCGCATATTATAAACAATTATATTTTATATAATTTGCATTGATATATTCACTTAAAACTCCGTATATTATAGATTATTATGATTAACATTTATTTATTTACTTAAAACTCCGTATGTTATATATTATTATGATTTATATGATTTAGTAATAGAAAGAGCATCGAAACACGGGGCTATCTGATTTGTACGAGGGGGCATAGCCCCCGAGTATTAATCAGATTGCCGAGTGTTTTGATGTTCTTTCTCTTTTGTATCATAATAAAACATAAAAACTCGTTCCTTGTTTCACAATACGAAACCCCAGAAAAAAGTAACCAATGAACGAGCATCTGAAAATCATATTTCTGTCGCTTTTCGTTTTTCTGCCGTCACAATAAGTAAACCCCAGCAAAAATGAACCAATCAATTGGCGTGCTCAGGAGTGGGGGTAACTAATACATGCACTCCAGTTAACGCACTATGCATGTAATTGTTTACGATTTAACTCTGATGCATTTTCAACAGAAAGGTCCCCAAACTATGATACAACATTGATCTATTTTCTTAAAAGTCCGTATATTATAAACAATTATAATTTATAAGATTTGCATTTATTTATTCACTTAAAACTCTGCATATTATAAATTATTATAATTTATATGATTTACATTTATCTATTTACTTAAAACTCCGCATATTATCAATTATAATAATTCATTATAATTTATATGATTTGCATAAATTTATTCACTTAAAACTTCGAATATTATAATTTTTATAACTAATATGATTTGCATTTATTTATTTACTTAAAACTCCGCATATAATCAATTATTATAAATCACATGATTTATATTTATGTATTCACTTAAAACTCAGCATATTATAAACAATAATTATTTATATGATTAGAATTTTTTTATTCACTTAAAACTCCGCGTATTATAAATTATTATAATTTATATGATTTCCATTTGGTTACTCACTTAAAACTCTGCATATCATAAATTATTATAATTTCCATTTAGTTATTCACTCAAAACTCCGCATATTATAAATCATTACTATTTATAAGATTTCCATTTATTTAGTCACTGGTTATTTGTCATAGTTTTTTTAGCTGGCATATACATTCTTCATCAGCACTGATAAACAGGTAAATATACAAACTAGTTAATTGACCATGGAATCAAGTATTTCAGACAAATTATAAAATATCTTTTACAAACTACAATGATGATCACGGAGACATAACACTGTATGAAAATAGTATAAATGTCAGCATAGGGCGAAACAAAAGGCAAAAATAGGAGGCAAACATACAAAAATATTGTATAAAATCCGTATCACTTTCCTCAGACAACAATCAACAAACCAACCAGAAAAATGTTGGGATATTCCATTATTGTTAAAAGTTCCATATTAAAATACTCCAAAATTTACGCTTACTTTATTTTCTTTTTTGTTTAATGCTGTTTTTTTTATTCGAAGCTACTAGACCTTACAATATATGTTTAAAACATCCAAGAAAATAATGCCTTTTTAAGTAAATTATCGGTAATAAAAAAGTTTAAAGTAATACGCTCTATCAGCTTAATTATAAAACTTGATTGACATTTACTTGTATATATCTTTAATTGTACCTTAAAAATTATTAATTCCATTTCTCTCAAGTATCTTAATGCTTAAACATTACAAAAATACGTTTAAATCTTACTCACCGGAAATCCATAATACTGAAAAAAGAAATATATAGGCAATATGCATTTTATATTATTTAGTGTCACTGATTCCCCTTAAAATATCGTTGCATCCTCTGCTTTCATTTCAAATTCGTATCCAGTAGTTTTGAACACTTTGTCTCGTTCTCTGCCAACTTTACTCCGGTTAATGAAAACAGGGACAGGTAATCCAGAATTTTGAATACTAAGCATCTCAGTCTGCGTTCCTAACTTCCTTGTCGTTCAGTTAGAAAAGACCCAAACGATGCGTATGTATTTAGAGTTAATCAAGTGTTTTAAAAATTTTGGCTACCGACAAATTGAATCGAACAACTGAAAACAGATTCTAATTTTGCTTGCGTTGTCAATGGATATTTCACGTTATATAGTGAAGATCCACACACATCGTTTTTATATTCATTGCAAAAAAGGAAGACATGAAGTTATTGCCAAAAGTGTCTTATTGACCCAGTATTTACATCAAAATACAGCCAATGTAATCTAGCACCGCCCTAGAAAGAACTCAAAACTTTAATCATTATTTTGCTATTTTCCCTTTGGTTTATTGACTTCTTTATTTACTTTAAAAAAGTAAATACAATGAAACTTGAATAAGAAATTAGTATGAAGCTCTTTTAGAATATAAGCTTACATAGACATTTAGCATTTGACTTCGGTAATGTCTCACTGACCGACCGACCGACCGACCAAAACCCAAAACTCACTCACTCACTCACTCGCTCGCTCGCTCGCTCGCCCGCCCGCCCGCCCGCTCGCTCACTCACTCACTCACCACCTCACTCACTACTCATCCACTCACTCACTCACTCACTCGCTCACTCACTCACTGAAATTTTCATCATGATAAACATTGCGAAATCTTTACATTTATTTATTTTTTTCGTCAAACAAAAACATGTATTCATCATCTAGTTCCATATAAATGTACGAGCCTGTGGTGAAATTATATCTTTTGATGATATGTTATTTCAAAAACGTCCAAACTACAATGTGTGGGATGGTAGCTTTACAGCTACTCTCTCCAAAACATCAACATATTGTTTCCAGTTAATACATTTGCATACAAGTTAAATATGCATTTGCCCCAGATCATTGTGACCTAACAGTTGTCATGTTTCACTTGACATAGATATAAACAACCCAATTATCACTTCCGTTACTATGTAGCGAGTGGGACAGCTTGAGAAAGGTACAATTTACTATCTGAATGTCAGTTTAAAATCAGGTTATCAAGATATTTACTTCCTATTTTTCTCTTTTTATAGACATAATTTTCTATGATATATTATGCAGCAGTCGATTGCAGGGTAAAAAACTTACCAAGCCTACAATTTGTGTACCAAACTGCTTGTAACCAGTTAATGGGTGTGTT